TGGTCTAGTGGGTTTGGTAGTGTTGCGTTAATGTTGGATTAGATGATCTTATAGGCCTTTTTCAACCTTAGTGATTCTGTGATTGTGCAAACAAAATCCTATAAAGCCCAACCTATGGTTTCTGGCTATATTCACTGAAATCCCTAACTACAGCCATGCTCCTTTGTTGAACTTGGGAGCCTGGTAAGGCTGCAGACCCAGAAAGTCAGTTTGCTGCCCTGAGGCTTTCTGTGCCAGCTCCAGACCTGGGGAGAAAGGGATGAGGTGACAGAGGAAGGGTAAAGAAATCTGAATGTGCCTCTCCTCCTCCCTCTAACCCCAAATACTCTGAAAAATCCCAGCGTGGCCTGCATGTCAGAGTCACCTGTTTAAGCCTGATGCTGCCGGACTGCACCTGATGGCCATTCATCCCAGAGGGTCTCCCTGGGCTGACCCCGGCAGGGATTGACCCTCAGCTCTCCAGGCATGGTGTGTCCCGAGGAGGCTGCCGGCTCTGGAAAGTGCCAGAGTTCATAGTAACAGCAGCCAGGGAAGCAATGTTCCTTACAGAACAGAAACCCGTTCTCTCTGTCCCCCAGGAGGTCGTGGAGTGGCTGCCAAGTGCTTGACCTCAATCAGAAAAAGTCTTCCCTGCCTCCTTGTTGGAAGTGGTTACACCTCGAGCATTAGCAGGTGGATGGGGATTTCAGGAGGCAAACGTCAGAGCATGCAGTTCCAGGGCGAGAGATTGATCTCCTCCAGGCCGGTGTCTGCTGAGGCAATCAAGTTGCTCTGAATTCTCCCTGCTGTCTCTGAGATCACAATTTCTTGTAAATGTTTTTACTAATCGGTTGGGCAAAACAGTAAGATTTCCTGTGTCTTTCTTCGATGCTCGGAATACTCAGTTCATGACCTACTTGATAAAAATAATGGAGATTGGAATTTCTCAGGAAGAGATGTTTATAGTGAGTAAAAAAAAACCCCAAACCCCAAACATTAGGATTGGTATTTCATTTATCTGCTGTGACCTTTTCCTGTGATACAGGAATCCTGTTATGGCTAAATTCCAGAAATGAAATTTCTGCAGGGTGAGTTTCGTGTTTAGGTTTAAAATTATTTTGGTGCCCTTTTGCAGTTGCTCACCTGTGCTGCTTCTGCCACTGTAACGAAAATGGCAACGTGCCTTTCCTCTTCATTTGTTTACAGGTCGATTCTTTGTAACTGAATTTAACACCAGAGGCAGAAAATCAAGACGATGCAAAGCCTTAGCAACCCAATGGTGCAGTGTAGCGTATTCCTTGATTTTAGAAACCTTTAGTATTGTCAGATGTATGAAAAAATCTTCCTTAATATAGGACAATTATTTAAAATGTTTAATAGTCACTAAAAAAGTTTCTGTGGAATCAACAGGAAAATTTCTGTGCGGTGAGGATATCCCTCCCTAATTTTTTAAACTCTTGGCTTTTGTGTTGAGTGTCTGTTAGACAATGTTTTGACCACAGGCCACGTCCACTGTGAATATTCATGCGGGGGGAAGGCTGCCAGCCTAAGTCAGCCGCAGATCTGCTGCAGCGTGTACCTGATGCAAACCAAGTTCCGAGGATGAAAATCGGAGCATGGGAAGCTTGTGATTCTGTTGACCCTTTCAAAAATGCAATATATAGCATCCCTTGGAAATCATGAGAAGTAATCAGAGGAATGTGTTACAAATCTGGTATTTAAGTTCAGAGCATCGTTTGGCTGTGCGATACGCTGGTTTAGACTGAAGACCCTGGAATTAATAGCGGGCTGTGGTAAAACCTTGGAGATTTTTTTACCGACTTATCAGGGAAATCCTGAATATGTGTTGGGAAATAAATTAGATGTAAACAATCAGAATAAAAAACGTCAGATTGGCTGGATTGGGCTTGTGACACAGCAGGAGAATGTTTTCATCCTTAGCTGCGGCTTTCAATGCCTTTTTCCCCCAAAATACACTTTGTGTTGAAACTGAGCATATACATTTTCCATCAAGAAGCACACGTGCCTGGAGAAAATGTGTTTTGATGTTGGTTTGCTTGATGTTTTGAAATTACCAGAGCATGTAAATGCTGGTTTTAATCGGCTGAGACTCTCTGCCTTCAAATGTCTCTGAGTGAGTGTCGTGTAAAATGCCCCGAGGTTAGCGGCTGGAGGAACGGGCGTGCGGTGTCGTCTGGCTGAAGCGTGGCAGAGGAGAGTGCGTGCCGCAGTGGTTGTGGGGTACCCGCTTAAAACTTACCACTTCACGGGACTTGTGAATTCAGTGGGAGGCGTCTCATTTAACTGGGAGGAAATGCGTGGGAGGGGAGCGGGGCTGGTTCCTGCTCCCCCACAAGAACCAAGACCCCTGGGGACAGCGGTACCTTCTCTCTGCAGGTGTCACAGCTACTGAGCACCTCAGGGATGTGAAACACATGACGGATGACCGTGAGGGACATAGGCTCGGGTGCTTGAAGTGGGTCATGACTTGTGGATCATGGCTGATCAGGGAACTTGGATGCTAAATGCAAGCACTGGCATCCTTGTGGGGCCAAGCAGGGACTCTTTACAATCCCTAAATTCCAAGCTCCAGATGCCACCCCCAGCTCTGAGAGCATGAAGAAGGCTCCACATGGGGCAGCCTGTGGTGAGGCAAGAGACTTCCCATTCCAAGAGACGATGCCATAGTGGTTCGCGACAAATGCTCTGCACCTTTCTCTGACCTGTTAACGGGCAGGAGGCTGAGGAACTGCACGTTTGGTTTACTGGTGCACTCTCTGTGTTTCTGAGTTCTCCTCTCTCTCGCAGGGTTCCACAGGTTGCTCTTTCCCATGTTAGTCAGGAAAAGCATAGAGACTTTTGTCAGCATGTTAACACTAATTACAGCACTTGGAGCGTAAAGTATTACAATAATTCATTTTAATGTTTATTAGGGCATAACAACAACTATAAACATAAGTACCATTCAGCTCTTTGCAGATATATGAACTTACTAACATCAAATCTTTACCAGAATCACGTATTCTTACAGGTGTCCCAGACACAACATTAACTTTATTAAGCAAAAGTTCATAAATAGTAAAAATGTCCTCTGTTTCACATTGCAGCGTTCCTCAAGCACGTATGTACAAGTTTGGAGTATCCTCTCCAAATCTATGTGTCATAAACTTCTTTAGCTGTTTTAACAACCATAGAGATGAAATTTTTTTTTTTTTTTTGCCTGCAGCAAAGCCTTTTGTCCTTGAGCAATCTACAATCAGTATTGCTCTCAGCAGACAGGAAAGTTCGTTTCTGAAATGAAAGTGGTGATGAAACACAACGCAACATTATCTGCTCGTAGTTGGCCGACACACTCTGCCCTCATTATAAATCTTTCAGTTATAACGCTGTCTCCCAAGAACAACCTATCTCCCTGTTATCAGTTCTTTGTCTGCACTACCTCTCTTTGAAGATCTCAGAATGCTTGGCTTGCAGCAACGGAGATATTATACGTAGGGTGGAGTGTGTTTACAATCAGTTCCTTTCCTTTTTAATATTTACATAGTATTTTTTCTTTTTAAGGTTGCTACAATTTATGAATCATGTAGGCTGACACACATTTTCTGAAATGTTCACAGTGCAGTATTTTGTGGCCTAACCAAACTTCGTATATGTCATTAAAAATAAACTTTTTTTTTAATATAAAAATAGAATATTTATGTGTTTACACCAACAAACCCAGTTCTATCCTATACTAAACAAGCTATACAGTAGTATGCACAGAATTCCACAGGAACAGAAATGACATGTGATGCTTGCCCTAAAGCTATAGTACTCTTCCCTAATGAATGAAAGTTTTATTTACTATCTCTTTTCCAAGTTGTTTCTCTGGCCATAATTTAGAAATAAAAGTAGGTATAATAATTCACTGGGTTATGTGTTCCAAGAAGAGGCTGGGGGGTGAGGGAGGCTAAAGCTGTTTCTTCTTTTCGTCGGTCTTCTCAGCTCTTTAAGGCTGGCACGAAGAAGTTACCGACCTTCCTGCTACGGCCGTGTATTTTTTAGGTCAGGGCTGGCTGCAACGCCTTTGCTCTTCACTCACCTTTGGTGGCAGCTCCGCCCAAGGGTTGGTGGCAGAGCTTCAGCTACACGGGTGTGACCCACCGGAGAGCAGCTCCATAGGGCTGCCAGCCTGCCTCTCTCCTCTTCCTCTCTGGAATAATGCTGCCTGCACTGCTACGTCACAGGGATTAGCCTGGCATTTAATGGGGATGCCGCCTTCAAGTTCACGTTCTCAGAGGATAGTTAACTCTGTACTGAAAGAAATGGAGGCTTTGCGTTTTTCAGCAAGAGATCTGTCGATATAGGCCGTTTGACTCAAAGAAGTGGTTGGATGTTGGAATAAAGTTGACACTTAGGAATGCTCTAAGCTAGATGATTTTCCCTTCATTTTACGTACCGTCTGACTGCACCAGAGGACTGGCAAGGCTGCCATACTTACTTTACTGCACACCATTTTTTGACATTTACCACGAGGCTGGCTCTCTTGGTTGCCTATGTTCTAAGAAACCTTGTTGATGTAGTGCCAAAATCCAAAGTTTGGCCTGTGCGGGAGGAAAACACGTTTTTAACTCTTGCAACTCGCACTGTTTGTCTTAGCCTTTTGTGTGAAGACCATTCCTGCGCTGCTCATTATCCTACAGTACATGCAACAGTAACAGTCCTTCCAGCCGTACTGATTGGTATTCTGTCTTCTCCTTCATGGCATTAACGATGAATCTTTGTTCTTGGGTCTGAGCACACATTAGCGAGAGCCAGTGGGGACTAGCTCCGGATGGTGGCACACAACGTTTCCATTTGGTGAACTGATGCAGTTGTCCATACTGTGATGGGTTATAGAATCCCATAACCTTAAACAGTATGACATCATGTCCTTGTACTAGTGCAACTTGGGCAACAACATAAACATGTGCAACAGTGTTCTCACAAAGACTGGGCAGTAAAAGCTAGTGGACAACATGTTTTGCTTTTTGTTCATACAACTAAGAACGGATTTTCCTCTATTTCAGACATACCCGTCATGTGTCAACATCCACATCTGTGCTGTCTTGTGACGATAAAAGAGAAGGATAGGGAGCAATGCACTTCACATTGACATAAGTAGCGTTGACATGAACGTAGTGTTCCCCAATAAAAGTGGAGAAGATTGTTGAGATTTTTGAAACAAGTTCAGAAAATGCTGGACGCATCTCAGGTTTTGGGTGCCAGCACTTCAGCATGACTTCATACCTGCCATTCAAATAAAAGAAGTGTTCAATAACAAAATCATGTAAAAAGGAAAAAAAAACCCCACCAACTCTTTCCTCCCACAGTCTCACTTCCTATAACATCAGAATCAGCCGCATTTGCAGAAGGCTTTGCAAACTATTTACTTACAGTGGGTCGGGGCAGTATTCAGGTTGTAGCAGCCTTCTTCCTTGTAATAAGTAAACAGTTATATCAAAAGAATTTACATCAGGATAAGGCGGTGCCCCTCTTGTCATAAGTTCCCATAACAACACACCAAAGGACCACTAAGAAAACAAAGACATAAATAATAAGTTATAGGGTTGGAGGGCTTTACATTCCAGTTCTAGAAGACGGTTTGACAGATTTAAGCATGGATTTTCCCTTTGAAAAGTTATTTTACTGCCTTCAGCTTTCTTTTAAGTGGGCAAATAAATGCTGTAGGGACTTGAGGAGCCACTTAAATTAGACCCAGAGAAACTTAACTAAGTAAATGAAAGGGGGAAAAAAAAAGCCTATAGGTCTGCTACCTAGCTGGTATAAATTGGCAGACCTCTTCTGAGGTTAATGGAGTTCTGCCAGTTTACATGAGCTGATGATCTGGCTAACTCTGTGTAAATACATACTGAAGAGAATATATGTGGTGAAAATTCCATGCATCATCGTCTAATTTGAAGCTGGATTGAAAGAGAGCTAAAATACAAAGTGATCCAGCCAGTAATGACTTCATCTTGTAATTTTTTCTTCATAAATGGCCAGGTAATACTTGAGATGGCTGTAGGCAGTCAGTAAGTGTCTATAAAGCAAATAAAGTCTTTTTGAGAACTATTACATTTTACGAGTCTCAAATTTAACCTGTTTTGTCAAGCTTTCCAGAGCCCCTCCTATAGCAGGGTTCAGCTCCAACTTGGCTTCTTGGTATATCCTTAGTTTCCCTTGCAGTGGGATTCAACTCCCAATTCTTTTCCTGAGCAATAACAGATAATTAGGTCAACAACTTGTTGCTTTGTGATTGGGACAAATACCTTTTCTGGATGTAGAAACAACCTCTTATGTGAACTAAAGTCAGATTCAAACATAAGTTATGGTTTGGAGCTAGTCCATTCATTAAATAGGAGAGAGATGCCTCAGCCAATATAAGAGACATGAATAGGTGATACAAATATGGTTGTACGTTACCACATCTGACTTTGTTGTGAACTTCTGAGTTTGTAAACTTTCTAAAGCCATCCATTTCACTGGTAGTTTAGCTCCTGTTTTATTGTGCACGCTGTAGTATTCTTTATCATAGACATCTCTAGCAAGACCAAAATCAGCAACCTTGACAGTGAATTTTTCATCCAACCTAGAGAAATGACAAAAAGTATTATCTGCAACTGAGCAGGCGAGATTTACAGTGATGGTGGACTATAATGAGTGACTTGCGTTTCTGAGACTGAGGCTCTGGAAGGCAGTGCTTTATCTTCAATCTACTGACTAATGTCACAGTGAAACAACAAGTGTAGCAAATCATATTTGACACCAATTTAACACAGTGAATGAAGTCAGGAAATCACTGATATTGTTTTGATAATATAATTTGAATTACAGTTCTTTTAAAACAGTTGCGTCGTATAAAATAATTTTGGCTAATAGCCTATACGTCCTGATGGAGTGCTACATCATTCCTTCCACAGCTGTTTCGCCTTCCGTATCCTTAGAAACCTCTCATTTTTATTTCCAAATCTAGGCACCACCTTTCCTATTCACTCTCAGTTTTGATAAGGAAGGGCCCATCATTATCTCAGTGACTGTCTGTATATAATAAAGTAGTCCTGTAACCAAGGATGTGTTTGGTGTCTGTACTGGGAAGGAATGGTGGCATAAAGAAAGTCCTGTTGGGGTGACAGCTCAGCCATACCAGAACATCTCCCCACCTTTGCTCCTCCTGAGCTTGGTGACTGTCCTGATCAGCGGTATCATTGTCAGAAAACAGACAGAGGGTGTTGGCATGCTTCAGCCTATCGCTCATTATACGTGCAGACCTAGCCTCAGCAAACACCTGCTTTTGGGCTTCTTTACAGAATCACACAACCACAGAATGGGTGAGGTTGGAAGGGACCTCTGAAGGTCATTTCACCACCACCTCCCCTGCTCAAAGCAGGATCAGCTACAGCAGGTTGCCCAGGACCATGACCAGCCGTGTTTCGAATATCTGCAGAGGTGGAGACTCCACAAGCTCTCTGGGCAACCTGTGCCAGTGTTCAGTCATCCTTACAATTTTATTGTTTCTTCCTATTTTTAAATGCAGTTTTCTCTGTTTCAGTTTGTGTCCACTGCCTCCTGGCCTGTCCTTGGGCACCACTAAGAACAATCGGGCTTCATCTTCTTTACTCCATTGTATCAGGTTTTTATACACATGGGTAAGATGCCCTGAGCCTTCTCCAGGCTCAGCAATCCTGTCTCACTCAGCCTCTACACGTGGCATTTTCCTGTCTTGAATTCATGAGGTTCCTGCCTCATGAAGTCCCTCTGAATGGCACACAACCATCCGCTGTGTTTACTGTTGTAATAACTAAACCCATGCCAATGAAGGGAGTAGGAGGGAACTTTGATGGGTCAGCAGGGGACAGCTTATACCATAGCAGCTTCCTGCACCTCTTCCAGGATACTGGAATAGAGTCAAGAGTCCATGGGGACTGTGTATGCATCCTGGCTTCCTTTCTGATGGACATCACTACTGCGCCAGGGGCTGAGCTTCTGAGTGCTGGATTGCACATGGCCACCAGAGAATGCGGGTCTTCAACCCTACATCCTCCTCTCAGGTGGCAGCAGCTCTCCAGGCTCAGAAGTACAAACACAGCCATTCAGTTGGCAATTGCTTTAATAAGTAAAATTAGCTTTCTGGTATTTTCCACTGGATATCAGTTGGCAACGTAAGACATCCTGATAGCTGTTCCCTCCTCACCCAAGGAAGAGACAGTAGGCTAGAGGGAATGTCCTGTTGCCACTATCTGGACTTTGATTAGATGAACCAGGGCTTTTATCCAGTAACCCTATTCCTTTCTTCTTAGGAAACCTGAAAATCACATTGCTTGTGGCTTTTTTCCTCCCTTAAAAAAAACAACAGCTGCAAGAAAACTTTCTTTTTCAGAGGCCGTTCAGCTGCATGAGCGTGCACCCTTTGAAAAGAGTAAGAAATCAGATGTCACAGGTGAATAACCTTTTTGCAGACCATGACATGCTAAAAGTGAACGCTAACGTTTATCCCTTACCTCACTAATTCACAACACAGCTGATGAATCAGCATAACAGTATCGGCAAGTCCTGTATCACCTAGTCTGTGTGTGAACTGAACTGTCTGGTTACCCAGACACTGGTAAGATTCTTTGCATGCTCTGCAAACATTAACATTTTTAAAATGTTAATTTGTGTGTGCATTTGAGCCAAAGTAAGCTCATACTCATGTAATGAAAGATTACTGTCAAGAGGTCTCACTGGTGTTTCTTTGTGTTCCTGTTTTTCTCACAAAGTTCCCGTGTTCCTCTCCCTCCTGCTAGGTGTGGCAGCAGAGACATGCTGCTTCTGAAGGGTTTGGGTGGAAGCACAGCAAGTTGAGACAACAGCAGTTTAACTTCCCTTAGGAGATGCCTTTTAAACTCTCTAACCAATGATTTTGAGAGGCTACACTTTCACCTCAGCTTTTCTGATTTCCCTCAGTCAAAAAAAAGCTTATGTGTACGAAGCGAGTAGCAAGCTGAGCAGCTCATCAGTATGCAAGACAAACATCACTATGATTACGGAACAATGAAAAAAACCTACCCTATTTTGACTAAAAAAGTAGAATCCCGGAAAATGTCATTTATCTCATTTCACTGTCCTACACAGAGGAGTGTGATAATATAGCTGGAATTAAGATGTTTGTACTTACATACAGTTTCTTGCTGCCAAGTCTCTATGCACAAACTTTTTGCTGGCAAGGTATTTCATCCCTTTTGCGACCTGAAGACCAAATCCAATTAAATCTTTTACTGTTGGGTTCTGTAAAATATAAACATTTGTGACACAATGAATGCAGAAGCCCAAGGAACAGACTGCTTTTTTCTGTGACTCTCAGTTTTTGACACACCCATCTTGCCACCAGAATGATCAAGACGGGTTGGTGCTTGCAGTGAAATCGGTGTAAGTTTAGGTCAAGTTCTTACCTCCAGCAAGGAAACACACTTTAAGAAATCAGAAAAGTGGGCAGACTCCAGAAGAGTGGAGTTTGCAGCATAAGCAGCATGACCTGGGCTGGAAAGTGGAACAGGACGCTGAAACCTCAGCATCAGAGCTGACAGACAACATTCACATTTGGGAACTTAGAGTAATAGCATGTAACTCAGTAGAAGGTGCTAACTGTGGACTTGGGGCTCATCAGCTGGAAATGACCAGAAAAGGACAGAGTTCTGTTTAGGGCAAAATAAGTGCAAGCTATCATCAGTATAATGCCATGGAAAAGGCAAACAAGACCGTAGCAGTTACTAGAAGACGACTTTCCTCAAAGATTGGTAACCCTTTCTGCTGGTCTACAAGGTGAGACCTTACTGAAAATGGTAAATATCAAACGAGGTATAAACAAAAACTTGTAATTCCTTTATCCAACAGCATGACTTGTTATGTAATAGTAAAGTCCCACAGATTTTTGTTCTGCTGACAGTACTCCATATAGTTTTCTTCTGTGGAAAAAAAATCTTGTTAAACTGTGGTCATTATTCTATTTATTCCAGGAAGAAATTCACAAACAAAGGCCCTGGTGCTTGTAGAATGAAAGAACCTCAAAAGGGGAGAGGTCCCTACCTCAGAAAGCCTGCCTCCACCAACAATTTGCCAAGATGCTTTTTGGGCTTTTTTAATTGTACTGGCTATTATTGATTGCCACAGAGACTGGGGAAAAATCCTGTTGGATCAGAAGTCGCTTTTTATTGTCCTAGCACTGTGAAATACTACAGTATAAATTGGGTTTACACTGCCTAAGGCAAGACCCGTGGTCTCATACTTGAGAGAAAGCAGCAAGGCACATTGGAGAAATGTGCGGTCTTTCAATGGAAACGGGGAAAAATATCTGATAATAGAGTACTCACACTTCGTATAACAATTGCTGGGTTTCTTTCTTAAGATAAGAAGAGAAAATACTGATAATAACGGGACTGTGACACTAGCCGGACATGAAGATGCTTCACCTAGGAACTGGAAGAGCAGATGGTGACGACTGGCACAGCTGTGCCGAAGTCAACAGAGATATGCCAGTTGAAACCAGCAGATGGTTGGGCCCCTTGACTTAGATCTCGTAAACACATTTGTTTATAAAGAGGCTTATGGATGGGAAATGAGAAATACTTATTGCTGATAATTTCTGGGAAACATTCTAGAGAGGAATTTGAGGGGGAAGGGAAGGAGTGGCAGCGCTGTGGTTGGGCTCGGTGCCAGCCTAAGCAAGTGCTAAACGTTAAGGTGTAGTAACAGCAGCAAGTTGCAGACGTAGTGTAATTATCACAGCTCATAACCTGTGGTGTTGGAGCAGGGCGTGGCTAGACTTGCACTACCGTTTCGTAGACCTCACCATGTACTTACATGAGTCTCGTTCCTAATGAAGTTTCGAAGATCTCCGTGTTTCATGTATGGAAGAATGACTAAGGGGGATCCTTCATTGGGTAAACAGATTCCCAGGAGTGACAGAACATTGGGATGAGTGAAATCTTTCATGATTATTCCTTCTTTCAGAAACTGAGCTACTTCTTCCAGGTCTGTAATCCCTGAGAAATCCAGTAATAAAATGAATGAATTGAAAGAAACCCACAGTTAATTTCTATACAGCATGTCATTGCACAACAAAGTGGTAATGAGAAGCTACAAGCATGCTTCCCACCTCCCACAGTACAACTAGCCTATGTGCGTCGGTTTTCTTACAGTTTGTTGGTGATTTTAAGTCATTTCTTCTTTTCTTATTATGAATTATTTAGAATTGAATAATAACACTTGAGTAAAGCCTTTAATAAATGTTGTTATAGTCTCTTCCTGTTTTTCCAGCCGCTTCACCCACTCCTTAGCAATTTAACTTCCAAACCCAAATCTTCAGTAGTCAGTAGAATAAAAAATGACACTGCCTTTCCCTCATTTTCCTGTGTCCTTTTCATTGAAGAGGAAATATATGGGCATTTCATTTGATGTACAAATATATACCAATGCCTCATGGTAATCTGAAGTCATTGGCATTGCTCCAGAGATAAATCTGATCCAGCTGCAACTAAGAATCTTTATTTGTGAAAGTACACTTGACTGTAATTAATTAGTTCACACTGGTTATCTTTGGAATTATGGTTAATGTCTCACTGTTAAACATGTAACTCACTATTCAGTGACTTCACAGCACAATGAATTTTCCTGCCGTCGTTATCCAGCAAAGTCCCGTGGTACACACACCCAAAATGTCCTATGTGAAAAATGAGCAAGATTAGCTTTAATAAGTAAGATTAGCTTTCTGGTATTTTCCACTGGGTATCAATTATGCTTTAAGAAAGTGATCACACTCCGTTTCTGTCCAATTCCCAACACTTGTAATGTATACTTTGTAACTAACACATAAAACTACCATTACATAAAACCATCATTACATAAAATGAATTCTATTTCAGCATAATTGATATTTCTTGACCTAGATGGAGAGTATAAGTAATGACAAGGCTGGCGCCACAACTGCTTCATGTTCTTGTAATGACTAAGGACACAAACTCCATGTCAGCCCATTCCCACCATACTCTCCTGTGAGATAGATGCCGAAGGGGAGCACTGGAAGGCACGAAGGAGCAGTTAGGAGCTGACATGACCACTGGATAGGAGGGTGGGTGGGTGGTTCCCAGTGGTCTGCAAGACCGTCCTAAGTGCTGCGCTGGATTGCAGAGCCTTGATGCATCTTCAGTGGAAAGTTGCATAAGGAGGGTTACTGTGGGCTTACAGTCTCTCAGGTTTTGCTATTCCGTGGAAAATGTTAAGAGTGGTGTGTTGGTCATGAACAGTCTGGGAGTTGCTCTACTGATTGCAGACTGACCACATCACTAGGCGGCAGCCTGTGGTCTCTGCTACGGCCTAGGTACGAGTGCAAAATGTCACTAAAAGATGCTGAGCAAAATTTGCCATCTTTCTCATTGTCTAAGCTGTAAAATAAACTGTCAGGGACACAGAAACCCTTCCTGACCCTGTGTTCTCCTGTCAAGAAAATGGGTTATTCTACAGAAACCTACTAGGGGAAACCTACTGTGAGAAATTAGGTTGGCCTGATGGGAAAGACAGAACTCTGGGCTCCAGACACCTGCATTAGTTTATTCGGATCAAACCATGTACATGTAATGGTGTCTTTCCTTCAGAGATGTACTATTTTCTGGACACTTTTAAACTATTAAATATTTGTAGGTAGGAAGCAAAGCAGTTTTTTGTCAAGTGTGAGTTCTGCAGAGAACAAGTCTATCTGATTAATTCTACTAGGTTCCAGTCATAAGTGCTGGTCAGAGCTCAGTTGGCTTTGCTTTTGGCTTAGGGTAAAATTAATACAAAGTTTGTTTTATAAAAGCAACTGAAATCCCATCAGACCACAGATTGTTTGGAGCCTGGGCATAAATCCTAAAGCTTGGAGCGGGTGTGTCTAAAATATTTTGGGGTTTGGCCCATTTCTAGTTATGGAGGAGAAAATTAAAACCAGTTAATTATATCGGTGTCATTCCTGATATTTTTCAATATTTAAAAAATGGGAAATTACTTGGACTTTTCTGAAACAAGAAAGAAAAGAAAAAGACCCACCCTTGCTTTGGGGATGATGAAGTGTAACACATGGAAGGGAAACACACTGTTTGCTTCATTTGTGAATATTCTCCTGCAGAAGAGGCACTAGGAATATAATTTATAGCCGAAGTTTCATCAGTTTTCTGATACTCAACAAAAGACCTCTCACACATGATCGACAGAAGTACTGAAAATCCAGTTTCTACTTGTGTTCCTAATAGGTACTCAGTAGTACAGAGTTTAATAAATGCTCCTAACAGAAGTACTGGCTTGGGCTATGAAAGAAGGAGGGAACCTGATTACAGAGATGTATAGAAACAGGAGTGATGGGACAAATTCAGAAAAATAGGAGACTGGCTATACCAGGGACAAAAATAAGGGGAAGTGAATCAGGAGCTACTCATTACTGCAGCTGGGATGAGAGAGGAATGAGGGGGAACAGAGAGCCTTTGGCAGGAGGAAACAAACAGTGAATTCCTCAGAGCTGCGGGAAACTTAGGGGTGTGTGTGCATTTCACCTGGCCCATGGGGACTTTTTACGGAATGCACTCGTGGCCGCAGGAGCTGTCCGTGTTGCGCAGCAATCCTGCCAGCCCTCGGGCTCCCTGCCTGAGGTCGCCGGTGCCCCCGCCTCAGCATTCCCTGACGTCTAGGCGGGCGCCTGGGGCTCTCCCGCAATACTCTGCAGCAGCCTCGCTCCTGCACTGCAGCCTCACAGATCAGAAGCCCTGGCTGAGCCTTTCTGTAGCCTGGAAAAGGGTGAGAGTGAGGCAGCTGAGTGGGAACCAGCAAGTCTCTGCGTTCAAAGGGGCCCCCTTAACTGGCAGACTCCTTCTTCCCTCTGGTGTCCAACTGATCAGATGCACAACCCTTCATCTGACCTCAGAGGAGAGCACCTTGGCTCCCCCGTGATTTGGTGCATAGCATGCAGTGCTCTAAGAGGTAAAATGCTTGAAAAACCTCCGTGTAGAGACCTGATCCAGAATGGTTTATAATGCATGGGCATGCAAAAGGAAGAGCAGTTTGCAAGGTCAGAGTCGTGGTACCCACCTCTTCCTATTACTTCGCTGAAGTGCACAATCAGGCTGTCAGCACCGATAACCACATGCTGCACTTCTTTGACCAGGTCAGGATTTAAGGCACTGATGTCAATGTGGACATTAGTTTGGAGAAGTGGGCTGGCTAAATCTGAGTCCCCGCTGGACAGAATTGGGGAGAGGTCAGAGTGAGGATACTGGGCAGGTCTGCACGATCCATTCTGAGACATGCTTGGAAACTGATCTGCAAGATGAACAGAAACTGTTATGTTATAACCCTTTCGGACTTCTCCTTGGAAAATGAAAAGCTTTATTTCATTGCTCAGCAAGGTTTATCAGTTTGGAAGTGACTTGGCTTTGCAGACGATTTGGTCACAAAGGGAAAATGAAAATACGCATAGCTAATCTGCCAAACTGCAGGAAAATCATGTCACTAGAAACTTCTGCTTGTCTCAGCTCTACTTTTCATGAAAGTAAATGGCAGAACTTCCACTTTTCTGAAGGGATGGAATGAAGCCCTGTCCCTTCTTGCCAAGTGTAGGTTATAGCATTTCTAGTAATTGGGAGTAACAAGAGTAAAATGGAAAAATGACAGCAATATGGGAGGAGGAAATAGCAAACAATTAAAAACATGAAACTTTTTATTATTTTCATGATCTAATTTGGTAGGGAACTTCACATTTCATGAAGGTTTCCAAACTGCTGGTGACTAGCTATATTTATCCAATGGTAAATATTCAACCAGGGAAATGCCTAGAGGTGATTCATATCCTGTAACTCCTGCAGATAATACAGTTGGTGCTACTCATGAAAATAACATGAGCCAGCTGATTTAAAATAGCAGAAATTAAAATGTTCCAGTCAAGCAAGGGGTATTTATTTGAGAAAATAATTTTTGTCAACAGCACGTTGTTCAGGTATTTTAACTTGCTTTAGTTTAAAAGATTTTTTCTAGTATTTTGTGTAATAGAATCAAAGAACTAAATTTAATTTACACTAATTTCAGTCTGGAATGATTCCAGTGGAGTCCGTGAGCAGAATTTAGCCCAGGGCCAAAAGAAAAAAACAGGAATAAATTTGACAACAGGAATTATCAGATATTTTATCCCGAAGAGTAAAAGATGTTGTACAGACATGCTTTATATATTTATGTATAAAACTTGGGAAGTTTTCACATGGTGCTGTTACCACTCTAGGTGCTGAGAAAAACTCAGTGCTGCCCTATTTAGAAGCGAAAATACAAACACTTACATATACCAAGCCACGTTTGTGTCACCAAGGGGAAATATCTACTTAATAATCACGGTGAAATGCTCAAGCCATGGCTGCAAAATAATTTTTATTGTTGCTACATGTAAATATTCGTGTTTTCTTGCAATTTTATTCTTTGACAGTAATTGATGCAGCCACTCCTACAGGAACATTAAGTGAACACACCTCCTCCCAGGGTGTGCTCTCCGCTGTGCTTTGCCAGTGCACAGCGGCCCCAGGACCACTGCAGATTTACCTTCCACCAAGGTTCTCTGCAGAGTTCTGTCTCGTGTACCACTTTCCCTTCTAACCAATGGCACAGGCTTTCCTTTTCCTTTGGGAATCTTTCAATCAACAAACTTCCTACGTGAGCTGGCGGCAGCAATTAAAGAATCATAAAGGAAGCTGGGAATGGGCCTGGCTCTCAAACAGCTCTGCGATTGGGGATTACAAAGGTGGAATAAGGACTGGGAGTGATTTATATTGATTTGCATACGGCAGCACCTGAAATGGTATGCGATTGTGTCTATACCAAGACTAACAATTATATGTGATATCTCGCATATGGTAACTCCTAATAGTTGAAGACTCTTTAACGGTAATCACAGAACATGGTCTCCAGATATCTTACAGGACATTTGCAGCCTAAAGTGTCATGACAAGTGCAGCAGAGTGCTCTTCTGGAGAATATCCACCCTAAAATGCTGTTATAAGGCACAAAAATCTATTCAGCATAGGGTCATTCTTCCCTCAAGCTCACAGGCCTGAAAATGAACAGTGTGTTTTCTGAGATGGGCATCTCAGCACACGTGGACCTCCACTCAATTTGTCACAGTTTTCACATCCCTTTAGCTTAATTTTTAAAACCAACATTTCTGTGTTGTACAATGTGCCATTTTATAGGAGGGGCAGATATACAGACGAAAGAACATCAGTTTACAAAACTCCACGTCCCACCCAGGTTGGGCTGACAGAACTGCTTTATAATGACTGCATGAAGTCACTGAAACACACTACACCTACAGCCACTCAATGCTACCCTTAAAAATCACTTTTTTTCAGAGTGGATTTGTGCACGGTGTGACTGACCTCATGATAAAATCATTATATCCTCTAGCTCCTGCTAAATTGTGGAGCATCCTTACAGAGAGTTTTTACTAGTAGTGGTTTATATATTTCTCCAACCTGAGTAAAAGTAAAAACCCTTTACATCTTAATCTTGGGAAGCAACCTGAGAAGCTCAGTTCAAATAGCAATCCCATGAACACGTGAAATTCCCAAACAATGCAGACATAGACAAACCTGATGAGAAACTGAAATTAAGATACTGATCAAAATAGCTGTCATCTGAAGACACGCGAAAGCCAAGATGTGTAAAATATCATCTGTACAGATTCACAGGCGTACCTTCTAGAAAAGTTGATCTGTAGTCTACAGATTCGCTTGAAACCATTTCTGTCGTTGGACTTACGCTCCTGGCGCTCACCAGCCTGTCCAGGTGAGGAGTGTGCACTCTGCCATCATAGCGCACTAGGTCGCTTCCCAGATCTGAAGGGGGAGGAGGAAGAAATATTAGAAAACCCTCCTGTTTCCTGTGGGCCAACATGCATTTAGGCATTTATTCGATTTCTAGATGTTCTGCTCTGCTGGGAAGAGGGTTGGGATTGTTGCTGAGGCAGATGTGCACAGGATGTGAACTTGAGCCATTTGTACAGCACAAGATTTGCTGTATTTTATGTTAAAGCCCCACTCTTGGCCACACTGGAAAGTGTGAAAGAGCTTCGAAGCCTCTGGGGACAGCTTCACGATCTAAGCGTGATGCTGCGTCAGAACAAGACCTGGTTATATACTAGCTCCACTCCTCCTCTTCCCCCCTTGCATAGTGCGGCAGTTACTAATTTTTCCTAATAGCTCAGAGTTCCACCAAAATCCTTCTCCTTTAGGCATAGTGTGGCCCTTCACCCAGCCCAGGCAAGAGCCAAGGGCTGAAATGCAACTAAACACGGGACTTGATTGTGACAAGTCTGCTGAAGGGGCACTGCATGGTAGTTAGAGCATAAATTGATGTCAGTTTTTAAAGTCTAAGATGTAATAACAGAATTATTGGATGGAATTTACTATGATGGACCTTTAATTTGTTTCTTCTTCCTTCGCCAGAGGAAAAACACCAAAAAGATGAAAATGAAAACGGATGTTGAAACAACTCCAGCAATTAGCCCCGTGAAATTCTGATCTTGCTGGATCAGCACTTTTCCAATAACTGTTGACAAAACTTCTTGCTTCCACTGAAAAAAACAGGAAAAAAATAGTGTGATGACTTCAAAAGACAAGTAAGAAGTAGATTATTAGTACTAAACTATGGGCGGATATGTCCCATATGTATTAAATCCTGCTTTTGTGATGCTGTGCTGCGATAAGACACTGAGAGTGGGGAAACTGTTATACTGCTGTACGTGAAAGCAGATCTACATTTTTATGACTGATTACGTGACTTCAAGAGCTCTGGTAGTGACACGGCTACGTATGCGCTACACCACACACACGGCATGCGCTCACACACGGGCTCTGGACAACAGGGTCCCATTGCTACCAGATGTTAATTCAAAATGCTAAATTCATACTTTTACTCAAGTGGTGCTCAGAAAAGTATGGACCTATGGATATATGGGCTGAGATAAACATTTAAAAAAATACTCCAAATGTCTTTAATTTGTGTCGTTCTGGCATAAATACGCTGTAACATCAAACTCCCCCTCTGCTGACAGTGTGCCTGCATTTTAGTTCCCAAGGTCACGTGAGCCTGTCCCTTGCCAGCTTCTAGCTTGTCAACAGTTTAAAGAAACAAAACAAAAAAACAACCCCCAAAATCAACAACCAAACAAACACCAAGCAGCTAACAGGGAAAAACTGTTTTAGGTCACACTGCACTAGCTCAGTCAGTTGGAATGCATTTGGCCATCTCTTCTCTTCCTCCCGTGGAATTCATTCCTCTGGGTACTGTAATGATGGATTTGCCCGTCAAAAGAGCAAATTTTCTTCTTCGCTGGGCAGACTGCAATTTCTGAGGCTTCTTGCCAGTAAACAAGCAGAAACCTTATTTAACCCCTTTATGCTGTGTTCTTTTCTACATACAAAATACATGCATATCTGCTTCTTGGAGGCTAAGGAAATAACCACACGGTAGAACCGACTGAATGTGGTTCCAGTCCCGGTTGCATATGCGAAAATACAAACAGGTACAGAACACAACATGTGCACAAGTATTACCCGAAACCAGGCATTTACAGGTCTGGGAAACAGACACCAAAAGGAGCGCTGCATCTAATTCTAGAGTTTGCCTGATACATTCAAAAACATTGATTTGTACTTTTCAAAATAAATTAATATTCAAATAAATTGATATTTACTGTATGAATAAAGCAAATTAGTTACTACCAATAACTAGTAGCACACAGTAACACCATTCACTGCCCAGGATCCTACTGATATGAACAACATAAAGACATAGGAAAAATAGATGGTCCATACTGTAAAGAGCTTACACAGACTTTGATCTTAATCACACATCACTGTCAAAGTCTCCACTGTTTTAAGTGAATCAGAGTCCATGATCAGCAAATTGCATAGTTTAAAGGTAATCCCATTCCGCTGTGATTTTCCTTATTTTAATATTAAAAAAAATACAAATACATGAAAGATTTTTGTCTTATTCTATGAATCAGTAGGTCAAACCTGTCTACAATTTAAATTTGCGGTAGCACTCTGCATGACACCACCTTCAGAACAACAGTGGAACTCAAACATTTGTCCTAAGTGTCTGCATGTTACAAAAATAAATAAAATGAAATTATAAAAATCAGACAAAACATGCTTTTAGAAAGGATCTGATCCTTTGGACTGCAGGTTTTTGTACTGAAAAAAGGAGCTTGTCAGCTATGAAGTAAACCTATTACAGTATAGCTTCCCGTTCTTCCCCATGTTTCCTCTGGTGTTTGGATTAATAACTCTCATTTCTGTGCTTTGTTTAGGTCCTACATTGTGCCTAAGGCTCCAGAAAGTCTCTGTACAAACAGGTAATAACAATGGTGGTAATATTCTTTTAAAATAGTCAATGTTATTTGAATTTCCATCCCAAACAAACAGGGATAGAGATATCTCTGTAAACACAGGCTTAGGCTTAAATTTAAAGTTTATATGTTCAATAGTGACACTGGGGATGATAATAAAAATGGTATTAATATCTCACGTGTGGCGTAGCTGCCTCACCTCTATATTTAGCTCGCTGTTGGATTTCAGGAGATCACTGGGAACCGTACACAGAATTGATTCTGACTGCAGGAGGAGGTTTTCACAGCTTTTGTTCCCAACTTTTAGCACCTCTCCTTTAACAGCTTCTGAATCAATATAATTTCCCTTGGGAAAAAAAAAAAAAAAGAGATCAATTTCATATTGCATAACCATTTCATGAAAGTTAGGGAGAACTCCTTTTATTACCTTGGAAAATGCTGTCAATGGAAAAACAATTGTGAAATAGAGGACTAATGCAAATTTACATTGCCTTGTCAATATGCATGTATCCATTTTTTTCATGTAAATGGCAGTTTGACAGACAGGTCAGAGGGTGTTGATAAAGTTTACAGATAAAATCTTCTGTCACTAATAGTAACACAGCCCATACAGACTTATAAAAATGTAAATGTCCAAGGGATAAGTCCTGTTGGTCCTGTCTAGACTTTTGCATAATTTGCACAAGAAAGGACGCATTATATGACCCTGCTGTTCATACAAAACTGGCATTATGTTATTCACAAACTAAAAGCATCTCAAACATTTTGTTTTGAAAGTGGTTATGGTAGCAGGGATGCAGATAAAAAAATTTCTAAAAGAACTAATTAATTATAATCATAAAAATGCACAAATCTGTTAAAATCACATCCCACAGACCAAAAAGGAACAAACCCTCGTGAAGATGACAGCATGAAAAGTGCACTCCCTACTCAGAAAACCTGCTTTCACATCCCAGACTTGGATGAAATACTATTCCTTCTGGTATTGCCCAAAGGCCAGGTTCAGGCTCTTTTGTGCTCAGGAGGGCATCAGTATTTAAGAAGCTGCCCCACCCCTCGCATAGCCCATCTTAAGATAAAAGAACAGGCATATTAAACAGGAATAAAAGGGTAGAAAGGAGGATGAGGAGTAACACTAACACAGGCTATTTGTGTGGGCTGGATCTGAGTTTTTCACAGGAAGGTGGTGTGGCTGCTGTGAGGCCTCATATACTGGGAAGAAAGCAAGAATCCCATTTCAGGTGGCAAAAAAACCCCTTTGGAATGTTTTGGGTCTGCTGCAGAAATCAGACTGAGCCCTGGGAAAACATTAATAAAAATATAGGAGAGACAGTTTAATATCCTATTTTGACTGACAAAGCCACGCCCCAGGTGAGTGCTTATTAATTGCTGGCCAAAAAAGTCCATTTTGCACTCTGTCTTCTGCCCACTTGGAGCTATTCTGTTTGGTGTTAAGCAAACATTCGATGGCCCAGGGAGCATGTGATCCACTGCTTATTGCTTATTAGCATGGAGACTTGCTGCAGACCGTGAGTCATTCATGTTCAAATCTTTCCTTTGAATGTTGTTCCTCAAAAGACTTGAATTTGAGTCTTCAGGATAAATACGTTATTCTGCAGAGGGTGGGTGAATGGCCTCTTTTTCCTGTACACCAAATCTTAGAATTCTTCTTCACCAAAGGTGATGCTTATCCAAAGGAATAAAAAAACCCCATGCTGACATTTCCTAAGGCGCTCTTTAGCTAGTTATAATGAAGATAGTACTTTCTTCATACTACCACTAGTGTTATATTGCCATTAATATATCATAGTCTCAAATATATCCAATATAATATCTCAATATATAAAGAGAACTCTTTCAGCAGTAGTTTCACTCTTCTAAGTACCACAAAATTTGCCTGTGATGTTAAGAAAAGAAAGAAAGTGACTCCTGTGAGAACAATATTTCCAATTTAAAATGTGTATCACCTCCTTCTTGCTGAGCGATGCCCTTGCACGCAAGCTGGAGAAGCTCGTTAGTGGGCTGAATAACTGTTGCAAACCAGTCTCATAGACCAACTACCTCACAACTTCTGAGAGATTGGAATAATTTGGATGAAAGTCTAGAAGCAGGAGAAGGACCACAAACTAAGGTGTGGAAATTCTGAGATTGGTGTCAGAAGAATTTTTGAGGGTCCTACGCAGAGCGTGTTGACTTGAGAAGAATGAGGAGTTACTCCAGCTGCAGTGTCCACTGCAGCTTGCTCAGAAATACCAGGGTTTCCATACTGCACTCTCTTGGACCAGATATTGAGAGAAACATAATTTTCTATGCAATATGGAAGACGAGTGAAAATACAGTGACCTGTAAATAGATAAGAAAAGTCCCTTAAATTGTCTCATAAAGAATGTGTTGTACTGGCTTAGGAATAGAGTAAGCAATTTTGTACATCTTGTCCTGCTCTGAGTTTTAGGACAGATGTGCTAGAGGACAGCCAAGATCTCAGATAAGATGTGTAACATGAAATAACGATTGTGGAAGATGAGTATTTATAAATATGCTTTAGTTACCTAGGGCATCTTCTGGAAGTACACACAGAGTCCCCGCACCGGCTTGGTGCACATGCACAACCCCACACCAGGCCAGCGTGCAGGTCTAGGTCACTGCCTCCTGTGGGAGGCAGCAAGTAGACTCTGTCCTCTTCAGCACTCAGGTCTTTGGGTGTCCCCAGCAGCAAAACAACAGAATTTCTCCTGCCCTGACAGCTTCCCATGTTGGAGGGAGACGGGAGCACTTCTGAAGTGGTGTCTTCGTGGTGTTGAAGCAGAGAAGTGCCTCAAGCCACTCTGCCATGACCCCTCTGACTGGGTCATGGTGGGCACTGAGAGACTTCAAAGAGCCACATACTTGGCAGGGGAAGACAGTGATGATGTGGGCCCTTGAGAGGCTCGGTAGTGTGGAAGGCAAAAGGGCTGGCACTGAAGACAAGAAGGGCTGGCATTCATGGCACACAGTGCCCTGACTGTGTTTTAGACAGAAGAATTAACGTTTTCTTGTGTGTATCATTTTCTTACAAAAACATCTTATGGTCATCAGGGGAAAGCAAACAGAACCTTTCAATCGGTACCCACTTGTCATTTGATGAAAGCCAAATATGTCACACTAGATTAGTTTGATAGAAAAACTTGTGACAAAAGCTCCCTCCGCCCCTCTGAAACTAATTAAGAAAAAGATAAAAGAACTTTGGTTTGGTAGAACAGACTGTTCACTGAAGCAAGCTGCCATTTAATTTCATGCTGAGCTTGCTTAATTACTGCACAAAATACGACCATGAGGCATGTAAACTTGTGTATGTGTGTATTTTTGAATCCGGGTATGGGGCAAGGAAAAAGTGTTGCCAATATGGCTTGTAATGGTCTTTTGGCTCCCGACTATAATTTCTGAAAGTTGCCTCACTGTTGTGATAGGAGCATCCCACTATAACTAATTCTATTTAGAGGAAGATGTTAAATTGGTGCTTGTTCATGGTTTGTTCTAGGAGACCAGCTTTCACTGACATTATTCTCCAGTTGGTTGCCAGGAAATAACCAGGGCTTTAGGCTTAGGTAGACATCTGCCTTGGGTGCCATGGCTACAGGTGACATCAATGCTACAAAATTGTGACTTGAGTCAGTTGTCAGTGGGGCAGTCCTCAGCCAGACTTTCTCGTCTGAATGGCTTCTTCCCAGCAATAAACAGCTCTGGAGAGTTCTCCTTCAGGGAAAATGAAAGATTCAGGAGTAAAAGGAAGAAGAGAATTTTAAAAAAAACAACTACTTTTTAACCCTCAGTCTCTAGGAAAAGTATGGAGCTCATGGAAGCATTTCCAGGCAGAGGAAGGACAAGAATGCGAGTGGGAACAGCCAGCTCAAGTTTTCCAAGGGTGGATTTTTGCCTGAGCAGCCTGATTGCCTTCTACATGGAGATGACTGGCTCTATAGATGAAGGGAGAGTACTGGGGAATGTTTGCCTTGATTTTAACGAGATGAGCAACAGAATCTCTCCTAGCAATGACAACAAGTTGGGATGATATGGACTGGATGGATGGACTGTAAGGTGAGTGAAAAACTGACTGGCCATCCGCTCAAAGCTTAGAAGTCTAACACATGGCATTCGTCAATGGCTGATACTGAGACCAATACTGCTGAAAATCTTTATTGCCAGCCTGGACAAAGGGATAGGATGCACTGTCCTTACGCGTCAGGTGACATCAAATTTAGGAAAATGACTGATATACTGGACCACAAGATGAAATGAGGCAGCGGTGTGCCATTGTAGTGATGTAGGCTCAGCACATACTTTAGCAGCGGCAAAGCCAGTAGATTGAAGGTGATTGTTCTCTGCTCAGCACTTGTGAGACCACACCTGGAGAGCTGTGTTGAGTTTTGAACCCCACAAAACAAGAGAGATACTGACAAACTGGATGAAGGCCAGTGGCAGAGGGCCAGTGAGTTAGGAAGGGAGCTGAAGCACGGGACACACAATGCAAGGCTGGTGGAGCTGGGTTTCTAAGCTGTAAAATGGAGGTTTTCAAAACTCATCTAGACAAGGCCATAGGCAACCTGACCTAATTTTTAACTTAGCCATGTTTTGAGGATGGGGGTCAGACTACAAGACCTCCAGAGGTTCCTTCTACTCTAAGTTATTCAGTGATTCTTCACAAATTAGTCTTCTTTCCAATTGGTTGGTATGCATGACCTGGAAAATACTGCAAAACACTGCTGTCACTGCACAGAGGCACTGAGCAATGCAGCAGCTATATATTCCCAGCGCTCCGCTGACCCGCACACCAGAACTCTTTTCTAGCGCTTCTCTATAACTGAACAAGAGAACTGCTCGGCATTGAGGAAGGAGTGTTTGTACGGCCAAAAGTTCCAAGTATTAAAACAAAAAAGTAAAAATCAGACCAGTTAATCTTTGGGATTTACTCAAAACACTTTGTGGAGACAGATGAACATTCAGAGAGTTTGACTGGAATTTAGCATGGCTGACAGAAGCTCTGAACTAACCCACTCTGCTCTCCTGCAGCTCAGAAGCTGGCCCAGTGGACCACCTTGGAGTCAAAGACCTCGGGGCTTCAAGATTTCATGGCTGTCACAGGGGAAAAGAGTTTTGGCTTACAAAGCCATGGACGAGCTACACAGAGATGACCCCAGCATTCAGACTGATTCTCTTCTGTAAAGCATTTTTTATAGATTATATTCTTTATAAATTATATATATTCTATATACATTTTATGTACATAATAATAAATTCTCATAAACATTAATTTTGAATTAGAAATACATGTATTTATACTGTTTCTGTTTGGTACTCTAACTCAGAAAAGCACTAGATTTCAAGAAATTGGACTCTCACAAAATGGATTTAACTTTCTCTGAAGCTCTGTAGTAGAGAGCTGCCTGTGCCTTTGAGGGCCCCAAATTCCTACAAGATGTTTCTCAGTGCCGTGTAGGGTATTCTCAACGCTCTTTTAAGAGGCACTCAGCATCAACTCCGCATTTTTCATGGATCTGTAAATATTTAGGCTACAGTGGTGACTGATCCTCATGAGCGACTTTGTACACAGGCCAGTTTCCCCCAGCTCTAGAGAGCCAAAGCTGCTTGGCCACTTTCTAAAGGCAACTCCATGTCTTTCGTCAGGAGGGACACAAACCCACGTGACAGTAAGAGCCGGGACTCGCGCGCAGACTACACAGTTCAGGTTCTGGGCTGCTGGCCATGTTTAATCCTGAACTGGTGACACAGCTCATCGCAATCCGAAGCTGACGCTGCATGGTCCTCCCACGAGGACGAGGAAAGCCCCCCTCCCCCCCACCTGATGCCAACAACCACCCTGGTATACATCTCTGTTTGCAGCTCGGCATCTTTTAAGTTGTGACAGCGGGGGTTCGGGTGAAGGCAGTACCGAACACACCGCTCTCTCTGCCTTTGCTTCCCTGGGGCTTCCTTTATCTCAGCAAGATGTCTGTTCCACGCTACGCTGCTGATGTGCACTTGTGAATAATTGAAAAACTTATTTCAACATTTCTTACCTTAATTTCCAGAATGTTTTGGTTTCCTCTTGAGATGAGCACTGGCTTTTCAAAACGCTTAAATACAGGATTATTTACATAATCAAAATCAAAGTATAAAGAGCTGACACCGTCAAAAATAAAGAACACTTTGGTTACAAAGGGTGGTTGGAGATTGAAGGCTTTCAGTGAAGGCGTTGCACAGCAGATTATCTCTGAGCTAGAGCGGTGGCTACACGCCTATAAGAAAGAAAGAAAGAGGTAATTGCGTTAAGTACGTGCACAGGAAGTCACTGATGAACATAACTGTTCTTTAACAATGCACATATATTGAAAAAATAAACAACGAGGGTCTGTGTTCTTCTTTAACCAAAGCAAAATCCTGATCAGTGCTACACAGCGTTTATTTAGAGCTGGGAGAAAAAGTATAAAAACTTCATGTCAGTGGTGTTTGCGCTCTTGTTGAGGAAATGTTCAAGTAAACAAGCTTCCTGGCCTGATTGTTCACAGCACTTTTAAAGTAAATATTTTGCAGATAATTAATGGAAAATGATTTCCAAAGCCAAGGACCATCAGGAGGCTAGCCTGGTGTGCTGAGCAGCCATAATTCAGCTTACCCAGCCTATGTCAGAGTGACTGCCACATGGAGTTCTCATCCTTTTTTACTACCAGGGCAATAGCGAGGGACCAGGGGAGGAGATGGAAACACGGCCAATGAATCTGACTGAAGAAAACAGAAGTAAAGCACTGTTTACCCACAGCATAGCTAAGTCGCTATGTTTCCAGAAAGGCAATACAGACGCCATGAGAAAGCACTTCAAAGCCAAAGCCACCACGGGATTCTGGGCCACAAAAGCTCAACAAAGTGTATCTTCTCTCTAAAAACGTATATGTAAGGCTCCAGATGTGCGGCATTTGGGGCTTAGGTAGGTACACAGGTGTCATGTGAGTCCCTCCTGGGAGTGTTGACTGCGTGACGTGCTTCACCCCGTACCTAGACGGGCAGGTACGAGATGTTTGCCCCTTGTTGCAGTGCAGGAACTGCCTGACAACAGGCATGAAGCCACCGCTTGCCCCTCACTGACATTCCTCACTGAGGGCCTGCTCCGGAGGTGCATCCTGGGGGAAAGCTGCTGGTGCACCCCACGCTCCAGGAGACCATGCTCTGTGCCCTGGGGAGGGTGATCCCGTGTGAAATGTCTGGCCAGGGTGCTTCCCTCTATCCCATACCGCCTTGACACAGGGCTCATGAGACAGAGAAGATAGACCCAGGTCTTTCCTAAAAGGATTGCTGTGTGGCAAGCAAGGACAGGGGATTTGCAGGCAGCCTGACAGGACGCAGAGTTTAGGCAGTTTGCAGGGATAATAGGCATCCTTGCAGATGGAATTCATCCAGCCTGTATCCAGACACCTGCATTGGAGTTAGTACTCTAAACTGCCTTTATAGTCAACAGAGGGAAACAGGCTCCTCTACAGTGGGATTCATCTGATCCATTTTAGACAACAGCTTTAATTAGATTAACGGTGCTCTAGAAGGGTCAACTTCTCTCTCTTGCCTGTGAAGGCTTCTACATGACTAACTTGATTATAATGTCAGCAGCACATCTACAAGCATCGATGGGAGGCATGGTGGGTGCTGGGCAGCATCACGCAGACCGCAGAGTGACTTGCTTGTGACAGTACCACGTACTCCCTTCTCTGTGCCTCCCTCTCATGCTGCCTGCTGTGGATGTGGTCGAAGGACTTCTGGCACAAACAGGGTTGCTTCAGTTCCCCGGTGTTTCTCTTCCAACTGTATGAACCTTCTCTAAGTAGTTCCCTGTACAGTGTGCCCTAACAGCAGAGATTACACTTTTGTTTTTAAATAGAAATAGAGTGGCTGACATGTGCCCCGGTAAGAATGGGGCTTAGCTGCTAGTCATCATAAAAATTACACCTGTTCTACAAGAAATTTCCCTGGAAAACCGACAGTGCTGCTGAACACCTTTGTGCATCTAGAGAAGGCCAAAAAATATATATTTTTCTGTTTTGTTTTTCAAATTAAATTACTTCTCATTATAAAATGCTGCCTGAAGGAGCTGTGAAATTAGTTAACATTTGTCTCTAATATGCTAAATTAATGCAATGTAATTTTGCTGTTTCAAATCAGTGACATAACGGTTCAAGATATATCAGTTATATACTGACAGTGGCTGAAAAAGTGGGATTAAATCAGCGATCTACAAATCAGCACTTTTTCTTATCACCACAGCAATTCATGTTTCTATGCATAACATTGTGAAATCTCGAACCTGCCAAGGGAAACATTTTCAAAGCTCTGAAACTGAGCACTAGAGTTTTAGAGCTCTACTACAAGGGTTGCGTGTCTGTGAGCTGGGAGTCTGACATGCATCTAAGTAACTTGGTGCAGCTCTCTGTGATGCTTGTGGGACTTGCACCCGTGCAACTAACAGCCCATTTAAATTCCTAGCAGAAAATCAGAAATATTTGTGCATCCTCCATGACAACAAGGTAATCTGTGGGACACAAGACACAGCAGAATTTTGCTCCATTTGCTTGCACAGTATTAGACTGTTCTTCTTTTGAATACCTTGTTACACCACTGATGTCAGGCTTTGTTATATCACATGGATCTAGAAATTAATTTGAATCAGTATGGTAATAATAAGATGTATCATTAGTATAAAGGATGATTGAGCCTTTGATAGTTTTCCATAATACATAAATATTTGTAAAGATATCTATCATATTGTGTCGATTCTAAAAAGGGATTGCTAAGCTATATATATAATTATAAAACCAAATAGGTCCCAGGTAATCATTATACTTTTGATTAATGTAAATTCATTAGACTTTTTATCTACTGTAGAGTAGTGATGTCCCTTAAATGAATAGCAGTGGTATTCATAACTTTGTTTGTGGCTATCTATTAGAATCAGATACTTTACTTTATCAGGCTGGTCTCTGAAGAGGAAGCTTTCAGAAAATGATAAAAATCTAATAATACTCTTTGGAGGGGATGCAATGTGACTGATTGGTAAGGTCAAGAAAAATCTTATTTGCAATGCCCTTATTGGTACATTATTTGACATGACATTTTTACCTTGAAATTGGTTTTAGCAATTGAAGAATATGACGGTTTAGTTTTCAAGAAATATTGGATTGAGGATCTATAAGAAAAAAACCCTAATTCAATCTATTGCCTTCTCAATTAAGATACTGCCTATCACCCAGCACCTTTAACTTTTATTTAATTAGGCTTCAGAATACATTCACTTTAAAAGCTGAGCCTACATTCTTCTTGTGACTACAATCTACATCTGAAGATAAAAAGGAAGAAAAGATGTAAAAATTATGGAGCATTTCACAAGCATAAGTAAATACTATACCCCAAAGGGAATCATAATCCATTGCACAATGCATATGACGCATCACTTAAAGGTATGTATTCTTGTTTCATTTGTAAAATATGACCCTTGAGGCAATTAATTCAAACCTGACCTACAGAATCTGAACTTTGGTGCCCAATTCAATTTTTTTTTCATCTGATAGAACAACAGGAAGAGTATGAGGGAGGATCTCAGAGCTCCAGAGGTCTCCCAGCAGCTGACCCAGATAAAAGAGGGGCAGTTGGATGTGTATTACAGGATCTGTAGCAGTCAGACGGGAGAAAATGGCCAATTTGTCTTTTCAAAAAAAGTAAACTTTTGGAGATCCAGTGAGGAATGAAAGATGAACGAGGTTAAAGACAGACCTGGAGACTCTCCAACTGTCTTTGCCAAAGGATGGTTTCTCAACAGGAAGAGATGAGAATTCAGGTGTGACTTGAGGAAGGCCCATTCAGAAGGACCAAGCAGGGTATCTTGAAGGTTTGGGATGGTCGATGTCCCTGCTAGCACCACACTCCCGGCATCCCGAGGATTTCACAGCATGGGCTTTTCCCTGACCCACTCTGCTGCACTCTTTCTTTGGAGGAGATGTGCATGAGATGCAGATTTGATACAGATAGGTCAACGGTTCCCCTTTAAACTCCTGGCTGGGTTTGTGTGGCAGCTTTATGCCAGAGAGTCAACAGAGACAGAGGATCCAACCCTGAGTGTCCTTGGATAGGTAGTCAGGAATATATTTAATAATCACATGCTCACCATCCACAGTTTCTAGGGAATCTCTTCTATCATTAATAAATCTAAGGTAGACACTAGCATTTTGATGACTATTACGAGTATGGATTGTTCACATCCTTGTACACATGGAAGGAATTTTAGGGTATTTTAAAATTCTCGTAATACAGCAGAAAATGGCATCTAGCAGGGAGTAATTAAGACATACTAAAAATCATTCCAGTCACTACTTACTAAAGAGATAATTAAAAGTCTGTGGAAAGAGATGATCTAGCACAGCTACAGGGTCAGTTCTTGAAGGTCATGCATTAAAAGGTGCTTCTCCCTAATTTTGCAACCTTGTGTATCTTGGGACATTCATGGTTAGAAGAGATCAAGCACTGGGAATATATATATCCAAATTAGTTAATGGACGGAATATTAAAAATGCTTCTGCAAAGGATCCCCAAACGACCATATGTTCACTATTGGGGAATCAATGCAAAGTACAGGCTATCAAAGAGAAAATAATGACCTCAGGTGCTCCAGAAGCAGAAGAATCACCTAGCACAGTTTATAGCCGAGGTTAGAAGACACATTTTGTAAACAGGCTCCTGCTCAAACACCATTCCAAACTGTGCAGAGCTTTTTTACAGGCACAATGCAAAGTGAAAGGAAGGAATGAGCTACTTCCCTCCTCAGGCACCTCACACAGGAACTGGGCATGGGAGCAGAAGTGAGAGGGATCGTACCCTTATGCACTATCTAGAGCCATCAGGAAGTTATGCTGTACCGCCTAACTTCGTATTTTTTGTTCCTAGTCAGAACAAATGATCAAAAGAACTCATTAAAGAGGAATTAAAAAGAAACACACTGCAAGTATTGAAACATATGGTTCAATAACTCCGGAACATTTTTTTCACTCGTTGAAATACCAAATTCAAAGAAGGCAAAATGTATTATTTTGATAGTGTTAACATAGAATGTAACATAAACACAACTAGTGTGAACACAGTATTGAATAATTTTAAGGAAATTTAAATAAATATGAAATAAAAAAATGATGAAGCAAGGCATTTTTGCCTTATAGAACAAAAAGTTTCAGAAATACTGAATTTCAAACATGAAAGCTGAAAAGCTCAATTTAAATGTTTCTTTTTTAGGGGGCTGGCATACTGTCCCCAAAACTTTTCAGTCTCGGTGAAGTTGCATTTGTTATGGGGAGTTGTTCCAGAAAAGGTCTTTTACCAGTGGAACCACTCATATCTTCCACCTGGATAGAAAGAAACAGGTGGAGAAGAGCAAACACCCTGGGGCACATCAGCTGCCTCTGCTCCCTGAGGCTTTGGGATGCAGAGCATCCCCAACAGCTCCTGCTGCTTACAAAAGTGACCCTCCACTCTGACTGCACCCCCGTCAGGGCTCTAGGCCACAGATAAGGCTGAGGGAGCGAATTAAGGATCAGAGGACAGATGGCTGACAGAAATTTTAAATCAGGCACCACCAGTTTTTAAGCAAATGGAGAGGGTCTGCGAGGTGGCAGAAAAAATGAGCAGAGCTCTGTGAAACAGCACTTACTGGGAGAATTTGGAGCGGTTTGGTTTGGTTTAACTGGAAAAGAGAAGGCTGAATCATGATGTAGTGCAAATATGTAAAATTAGCAGGAGAGTCTGGTAATCTGTTGGTTTTGTCCACTGAGGGTTAAACAAGAAGATAGCTAATTAGCAGCTAGGATTTGGGTTAATTATTAGAAAGAAGTCTTTCCAAACCACTAGGTAAGCAGGTAGGGCAGCTCTTTCCAAAGCTTGTTTAAGCAAGGTTGTGAAATTTCTTTCACAAAGAGCTTTAATAACAGCCTAGACAAATATCTGTCAGGCAGTGGTCTGGGTACGTTTGCTCCTGCCGCAGGGAAGCGGGCCAGGCTAGGTCTTTGTGGTCCCTCCCAGCTGTACTTGCCTTTGATGCTTTGGGATGTGTTTCAGTGATGGCTTTGGTTTTCCCAAGAGCCAGAGTTTCTGAATGCTGACAAAAGCAGCTTTCTTGGAGGAGGCCGGTGAGAGAAGACTTGAAAAGAAAAAGGGCTTAAATAAGAATTTAAAAAAAATGTCTCTGTTCACTCTCCTCTCCTGAACTAAGGAAGCAAAAAGATATATAACCTCAGCTATAGGCCTTCTTGATCATTTTGGTTTAGATTGTACTGTTTATCTGGGTTTGGTCTATTCAGGACCACAACCTGTTTTCTCCTCTATGAATGGGATAGCTAGTCATTGCAGTGCTCTGTATCCCTGCTGGAAATAGTTCCTCATGGTTCTTTATTTTTGTAATGACTGGATGAAAATCTGGGGTTTTTTTGGCATATCGCTCATCCAGCGCAGGATGGGGCAGGCTGAAGCCATAAGCATCCTCCACCAGCAATTTCCTCAGTTACATAGTGCAGCCTTGTTTTGCCACTTATAAATCTTCCCCTTCTCCCTGAGACCTAATATCCTTCCTTGAGAAATAAGCGCAAGGTGAAGACTAGTGGCAGAACAAATGGCAAGCAGAGCTGGGCTGCCACAGAGGCAGGGAAAGCCACTGAATGCCAGAAGCCTTTAACTTCAACACAGTAAAATATATTGCTTGGGCAGTGCAAAGTATAAAACACACCATATTGCAATCCGTTTGAAGTTATATTCCACCCTTTGTGCAGGAAAAATGAACTTGTGTACAGCTGCTTTTACACTGGGGCAGATTCTTAGAGATCAGCAGTGGTAGGGGACAGATATCTTTATAGAAAAGGAGGGTCAGACCTGCCCCTTCTCGTGTGTTGGCAAATATCACACACACTGCATGGTATGAGAAGTAAAAGAATAACGGAGATAACTCTGGCTGTCTACACCTATGTCTTTTTTCAATAGCAGGTTAAAAGACAGGATGGCAGCAAAACACTACTTAACGGAAAGGCTCCTCCCCCAAGATCTGGGGAAACAGTAAAGTCTACACTGTTCATTGCCTGCGGTTGCCAGTCACTTCTGGATAGTGGATTTAGTTCTTTAAAAATTCAGATCCTTTCAAATCTGTTCAAATTCTGAGGAAGACCCAAACATTTGACAACTAAGGTATGCAGAATCAGAGTCTGAAGAGAAGCAATGTTGCATATTCTTACAAGGGAACAGAGAACGATCTTTCTTCAAAAGAAAGACTGCTCGAATCTGCACAAAGCAAAATCTAAAGAGCTGATTTCAGCAATGATATTTTCTTTGGAAATCTTTTGTACTTAGAAATAATTATGCCCACATTACTCAAAACCTAATAAATTTTGAGTTGGTTGATTCCACTGAAATGTTTTGCTTTTCAACTCATGTGTGAAGTGTCTTTTTTGATAACATTGAACACTGTGTTTTGTTGCAGATTTTCAGACTAAAATCTGAACCCATTAAATTACAAAGCCACGATTACATCCAGCTCAAATTCAGGTCCTGACACTCATAATATTATACAAATTAGGATCATGAAGAATATTATGACCTTGAAGCTATAAAAGACTGCAAATTTGCAGACATACCATTTAAAATGCCTTGAGCAAACGCAGGTCTCAGAATTCAGTACAGGAAATAGTGGATGATGATCATTAGAAATAAACTTAGAATATGAGCAGTAATGTAGCATGTCATAAAGAGTGTAGGTCAATTTAGCTTCAGTGAGGCTAAACAGACCTTATAGGACAAGAAAATGTTGGAGGTGCAAGACAAATGTGTAGGCAAAAGCTCACAGGTAACAGTTCCAGTACAACTAGACAATAAGTCTCATCTGTGCCTTATAAAAATTAAAGTAGATCACATGGTCATGTCTGAACAACTTCTTTAGATTTAGACACTGTATTAGCAGCTCAGGTGACAAAAGAGGACTTAGATCCCTGAATAACCTTCTGTTCATGCAGAGGTACCCAACTGCAAATGCCCCAAACCTCCTGTAAAACTTAGTTGCTGAACTTGTAAAGTTAGATTTGCCCCAGTAGATAATTTGGCAATCAGAAATTCTTCAAAATAATACTTACTTTTGATTTTACATATTTACTTTTCTTTTTTCTTTCGTGCTTGTTTCATGTTCCTTTTATATCCACTCACCATTTGAGTGTATTTCCTGCCTATTACAGTAGCACTTGAACTTGCCATGTAATCCAATACACCTGTACTGCATTGTTCTGTGTTTAGTTACTGGATTTGCATTGTTAAATTCAATACAAAAAATTTGTTGTCAGATATTGTAAAAGTCTTATTCCTTTGGAAGAGGCTCATTGGAAACTGTTTTTCTACCCCCAGATAATTTCAAATTTGCTGCTGAGTTTTGCCTGTGCAGTGGAAACAGCCTGTGCAGAAACACCAAAATGTCGGTGGAAGCCCCAAAGTTTCAAGTCAAAAAATCAAAGTATTTTGACTGAGAATTCTGTGTCATTCACCAGACGAAGATGACAAGATAACAGATTGTCTTCTCCAAGACTGACTCACCACAGAGAAGTTCATTCCCAGTTTAGGTACAGTAATCACCATCTGAGGAAAGCACACTGAGTTCAAGTTGATTCCCTGAGCTGTGATTGTACTTCCACCACTAGGAAAAATTAAAGGAAAAAAAAAAAGATAAGATGAAGATGAGTACGATAATGATACATCTGCTATGATAATCTTAATTACAAATTATATTTTAGAGTAAATGACAACATAAAACCAGAATTAGGGATATATGGGGTGAATGCAAATACATAGCTCTGAGCAGTGAGACTATTTTTTCTGGGAAACAAATTGTACACTTGCTGTAACAACTAATCAAATACAAGAAAAGAAAAATAATTTTTAAAATTGTGGTATGCCAGGATATAAAACAAATGTGCACATTTTAAAGGAGGGTGTATATTTATACTTAGCATTTGCCAACTTACTTAACTTACGGCTTTCAGTGGTGCTGAAAAAGGTGTCTTTTTTACTGCTGACATTTCTTTGGCAAAGGCAGATGGCTTGGATTAGAGCTACTGAGACCATAAATACGTCACTTAAAAACGCACACATACTACTGTACATATATATTCATAATATTTATGTAGCGCTGGATTTAGACTATTTTAAAATCCATTTGCTCTCCTGAGTACCGCTGACTTGCCACATTAAATGATTTCCCTCACTAATCAGTGCAATGTCCAGGCACAGTATAGGAGACCCACTTAACAGTAGGTATCTCAGCAGGACATCCCAGGTACGCTCAGCAGCAGCCAGGAGTAAAATCACATAAAGAAAAGAGGTGCCCTTCCCCCTTCTCCTTCCCCTCTGAAAGGAAATGATCTGCCCTCTGCAACTGCACCATAATAGAAGCAATTGGCATGGCAGATAGAGATAAAAATGCAATTTCTTTTGATAGATTGCTGCGCAGCATAGCCATTCTTCTTTCATGTCTTACTTTTCTTATTTCCATAAGAAACTTCTACTCACCTAAGAAAAGATTTGGCCGGATGAATTTTTAAAACAACGGGGTCTTCTCTGTACATGAAATGACCGCTCGCATCTCGAACAGCTTCATCGATTCCCACCCTCACACGATATTCCTGGGGAATTCGTTGTGCCGGCGTGTAGCACTCCACAGTGCTCACTGATACGCTGGAAGGACAGAAAAAGGATTGCTTGTCAACATATACTCGGCTTAAAACACTGTCATTTACTGATTCCCAACCCCACCTAAGGATCCACTTGGGAAAAGTTGTCACTGATTCCCACGCTGGATGACTGTATTGCAACAACAGCCACATCACTGCTTAAGCTGAAGATTCATCTCAGTTTGGTTGACTTGCACCTCGACTGCTGGAATATGTTTCCCCAGTGACAGCCCCTGCACCCTGCAAAGGCAGCTTCCAGCCTGGAAAATGACAGCACGCTCCAGGTGTAAGGAGAACGACTTGGTCTTCTGTAACCTAGAGAAAACATGCGTCTCTTTCCAAACCACAGGATTTACCCTGTGCTAAACACCTCAAGAAAGGTGCTGGTGGGGGATGTACCAGCATGTCAGAGGCGTGCTGCCCTGAGGTCGCCTGCTGACTCCAGGGGCTGCTGAGGAGCAGGCAGAGGGCATGGAGAATAGAGGAGAAGGTGAAAATTCAGGAAAAGCTGGCTGAATTCAGCACAGAAGCAGAGCCCCTGGGATATTCACCTTTCCCTTGCTCTCTCATGCTTGCCCCTGGAAGTCCTCCTCCGACACTGAGCTCAGTGGCTGTGCGGGCCGTGGAGGGGAGAAGGATCCTGAAGCTTGAAGCACATGAAATGTGGCCACAGGGACCAGTGCACGTCAGAAGCAAGGGTAACAACTAATCAGAGAAACAAATGTCACTCTACCAGCTGGTTTCAGTAATTTGGGCCCAACCACATCCAGCAGCTCTCCAAGTGAGGCCATTCTCAAAGGATGTGTCTCCAATTTAGACAAAAGGGGCATTCGCTGCCACTTCCAAAGCTTTCTAGGAAGGTAAGGTTCACTGTGTCCTGTAGGGGTTAGTGATTTGCTCCTATATATCTGGAAGCTTTTTACCATCTTTTAAAGGAAAAAATAAACCCTTGATGTACCTGCCCCCAGAACTGGGGAAAGCTGCCACTTTAGGTAGAGAAACACCTGCCCTGAGAAACTGGCTAAGGCCTGGGCATAGGTCTACAGACAACTTGGCTGGTGAGAAGGAGGGTGCAAGAGACGCTTCCTGCATAAGCCCCAACTACAGTTTGACACCCAGAGGTCCACCTGCTCAAAGCAGATGTCTGCCTCTGAGCTGGCTGTCGTCTCACCCCCACAGCAGATGTCTCAAGTGGATCAGATTAATAATTTCCAAAAGCTTTATGTATTTGTCCATTAATTGACCAGCTGAGATGATGACATCAATAAATGCCACCCTAAGCTATTAAGTAGCCACTGAACAGAAGTGCTGAAGATATTGGTAGTGATTAAATATCAGACTTGAATACCTAAATCCCTTTCCTGATTTAGTCAGACTTAGCTGTTTTGATCAAGAGCATACAATAAATCATTTAGCAGCAAAGAATATAATTTAGCTCTCCTGACTTTGAGTGTGATGTTAACGAACAGGCTACCGCTTCCCCACGTTCTCCGCAAGTGAGATGTTTCACCACTACGACTTTCCATAATCATTAGGGGAGACTCAAAATATAGAGGAATCGCTAGACATCCTGTTCCTGGAACACAGTGAGTGGTCCAGATTCTGCCCTTGGCCGCAGAGGTGACGATTCTGGAGCCACCCTGCTATATCTGAAAACAGGACCAAGCAGGATTTGCACCATGGTAGAATGGCTACCAAATTCAGAACGGTTGTCAGCCCATAGCAGAGAATCTATGCTTGATATTTATCATTTATATTCATCCTGGGACTGAAGGCATTCCCACAGAGAGCATGTCAAGACTCTTGACTGAGCTACTGGATCCAGTGCAGAGCCAGAAGAAATTCTGGCTTAATCTTCAAAGCTACCAGGAAAAGTCCCAAACGGATGCTGCCTCTGGTTTGGAGGCTGTTTACTGACAGTATGGCAGAAATAGCTGCTCCTCTGCACAGGATACACATTCCCACACTGGTGAGGTTTCCACCGAGCAAACCAGTAGGGAATGGCAGGCTTCACCCACTGGATGCTCACTGGGAGCTGCCACATGAACAGCAGCTCTTGCTAATACAAGAGAGAGGGCTGAGTGTGTGGGAGTCAGGGTGACAAAAATGATGGGAAATGGGCAGTTTCTAGTCCATTAGAAATTGATTTGCTACTTTTCCATGCAACCTTTTAATGAGGTTAATGAAGGCATTACAGAATAAACAAGTCTTTTAGGGAACTGTAGTCCCTTCTAGGAACCTTTCAGACATCCTAAACTCAGGATGTAATCCAGAAGTGAATGCTTATTGCAGTATCACATCTCCAATATGTAACACGAGGAAGGCGAGCAATGCATGTTTGCAGTGGTTTTTGACTCCAAAACATTTTAATGAAGCCATTTCAATATTAAAGGCATCACTTTTTAGTAACTATATTACCTCTTCAAGGTGCATGGTTTCTCACCAACAAAAATCCTTCTGGATTTTCCACTGTTTAGGTATTTTCCAGCAACAGTTAGCAATGTTCCTCCAGATTTGGGGCCATAGGTGGGAGAGATACTTGTTATTACAGGATTCTGAGGGGAGGTAAAAATAAAAACAGTGGATGTTAAATTATTTTCAAAATAAGGTAAGGAAGAATCTTAACGCATTTATTAGTATTTCCATGAAGTATTAATAAACAAACAGGAATATAGAATTACCATCCTGGATTTGACTCGAGGAGTCTCCTTCCAGTTAATATTGAAGATAATTTTGACAATAAAGTTTTAATCATAATGCTTACCACATACGAAAATGTACTGAATAGTGTTTTGCCATGTCCAACAGAAACACTACTGGATATATTAAAACTTGGACTTTTTACAGCAGGAACCGTGCATTCCAGCCTTTGGAAAACAAACAAAAAAAAAGATGGGATGACATTTTTTTTCCTGTCTCTTAATTTTTTGTATTAAAATAGAACACTTCAAACTCATAATATTGGAGGATCCACACTGAACAAGTCATCAATCTATGTGCACCAGAGACATTTCAGAACTAACAGCTAAAAGAACCATGTTCATCTTCTTCAATACTAAATACAAACACTGTTGTGTTTATACTTGGCCAGAGAAAATAATTTTAGTATATCAAATGAATTTCAGAAAACAAGAAGCATGTTAGAGAAAACAAATACCTCCCATTCAATGGCTGAGTTGGTTTTTGGAATTTCCCTTTAGTGCCAAATTGTGGCAGACAGCAGGATTAGAAAAAATCCATCATATACACAAGTTTGTTGGATAAATTTACATATTACCGAAAACTAAACTTGAACTTTTGGGGCAGCATGTGTCAACGTATTACATTTTATTTACACAGTCTCATGTATGAGCTAGTCTCCTTAAATCGTTCTGTTTGCATTAAGACTGTTCAGAACAGAAGTTAGGAGAGCACTCAATACTGTCGGGGGTGAACGTTTTGCTGCTATATATATGAATAGGGAAGCCGTGCCGTGATTTGCACATAGCTTTGGTAGTAGATAGCCATACACTTTGAACTGAGTGAGGATGTTCATTGAACTACCTATTTCTTCAAGATAAAAACCAGAATGACCTCTCTCTTAAACTTGAGCCATTATCCCACTGTCTCAGACACTAATTCGGAGGAGGAGGAGAGGTGCAGCTGAGGGTCATAAGCCTCTGGATGACAAAATACCTGCATCTTCTCACATGTCTCCCCAGTTGCTTCACAGATCAGGAGGATGGAGGTGACATGACTGAGCCCAGCAGGATCTTGGCCAAAGGAACCTTCCCCCTTTCCAAACCTTTGATTAGCTTCGTTCCTGCCAGCTCCCACAGATGTGGAACAGCATTACACAGACAAACCAGAAAAAGCTGCTGCAGGAGCTATTGGCATTAACTAGATTTATTTGATCTCCATTTTGAGCACTTTTTTATTGGGGAGCTTATCAAACCAAGGGATTTTTTTTCCTGTTTGAAATTTCAGAATCGGAGATGACACTTACAGACTAGATGTTTGTATCGTAAAAAAATCCATACCACACAAAGAACATCTGTACCAAAGGAAATCTGTATTTTAGGTTTCTTACTTGTTTTTGTTGCTAGATTTTGCTTCCAGAGCACAAATTTGTCCTCCGATGTGGACTACCGTATTTTTTAACTCAAATCTATTATTTTTGCTGAATCCAAAGTCCCATCCACAGAGTGTCAGTTTTGTCCTGCCTTCTAAGGGAGCGCTGCTCGGGAGAATCTGTTAAAAAAAAAATATTGTGTTAGTTACATTAGGTTTTCTTGAACTTCAAATGGAGTTAAAGAACGTGCAAAGGAATAATTTTAGAAAAGCATTTCTTCTGGCAGACTATGTCCTACCATTCATCTTAATTGTTCTTCACCTTTCATTTGTCACATTATGAGCTTTCTCTGACAGTAGCAATAAATAACAAAACCTGTACTAGAAAGCTCTGAAGGATAGTGTTTAGGGGCACTGAACAAGCTGTGCACTGTAATAGTCTTTTAAATCCTGCCGTTCTTGTCTTTCACATCTTATTTCTGGCATGTTAAACATACAATGTACTTATTTTGTTAGAAGCTGAATGCTGAACACAAAAGAGCCCCAAAATGACCATTTTTTTGTCAGCTTGATAAAAGTCAGATTCAGAGTGAAGTAGCTTCAAAGACACCATAATCCAATATCGCTTTGGCTGTGATAAAGTTAACGCGACTTCTGCTATTCTTTCCTTAAATCTTTCACATTTGGTCACCTCTAATTCCGAGTTAAAAATAAACTACCCTTCAGAAACACAGAGACAATCTACAAAGGAAATGCTTTTTTTTCTGTATATTGTAAATTGTCCTGTAAAATATAACAATGGTGGGAAAAATGTAGGAACAGTATAGAAGGCTTACAAAACTCAGTAAAAGTACTGGTCAGTACTGCCAGTTAAGAATAAAAAGACATTGGTTCAGGGTTTATGGTGACTTTTAACAATGCCGTATAATTCTGCAAACATACCAGTACCAGTGGACAAACAACAGAAAATGAATGACTGAATTTTTACTTGTGGTCAAAGTGCCTAAATTTCTTAGAGTTAATGCTTTAGTGATAGTAATTTTTCCCCTAAAATGCAATACAGCTGTGCCTTTCAAAGGACCCGACTTCATTTTCAAGCTGAAAGGAAAGTGTTTGAGAGATACTTGGCTATCATTTCATCTGGAAATCCACTAAGACGGCACATTTCTTTTCAACTCTCTTGTAGCTATACTTCAAGACTCTCACAAATGAACTATTGTAGATAGAAAGGCAGCTGAAGAACACTTCAAAAGAATTATACCATATATTCTATACGGGGAAATTTATTGCCCCCATTAGAAACCAGACAAAGAGTCTGATCTAAAATGCACCGAAGCCAGTAGGAACCTTTCCCATTTTAATGAGCTTTGAATCAGCTCTCAGTGAGCAAAGAAGAGGGAACCTATGCAGGAACAGTACTTTCGCACAAATCCTATGAAAAAGGAGTGATGCTCGCACAGCCCCCTGACACACAACATTGTGGCTAAGAGCGCAGAGCAGTGCTGTATCCTGTGGAGTCTGTGCTATTCTCAAGTTTAACTTTCCCTTGTTTCTTTGGGGTTTTTTTCCTTCAAAATCTGGATTGACTTCAGATCCTAGTTTTTCACTCTACTTAATATCTCAGCACACTATCTATTTTTGGAGTAACAAAACGCCAGCAGAAACTGAAATTGCTCTGCGGGGGTACAGGATGTCTCGATGTTTTGTACAATAAGGCACTGACGTGTGGCATTTGAAGAGTGTGAAATGTAATCCATAAGTTAGCAAAATAAGGGCGTTGAAATCAGGCTTCATAAAGCCATACAGAATAAAGAACAAAGGCACTTAACTTGTTATGAGTGATCTTATCTGCCAAAAGAGACTTGTGATAGCAGCCCATGTGCCTTAATTGAGGGAGAGTAAAAGTATTTACTACATTCTGCCAGCAAATTTAGGAGGCAAGACCTTCTAAACAGACAGCAAAAAGAAACCAAATCTTAAACTTCTGTATTTAAGTCCTGCAGAAATTCTCTCAGAGCGTTTTTATTCATGTCTTTATTTTAATTCCGTATGTTCTGTATGATGAAACCTCTGAAAGTCAAATGTGGCTTCCCAGACTTGTTCTGGGGAGACTCAACAGGAATGGATAGTGAACCTCCTGGACTTTGAAGTGAGGTATACTAGGCATATTCTGTGCGCTTACACTGTGCAAGTAGTAACAGAAAATAAGCCAAACCCAAATCAGTTATAAATGCTATGAAATTCAAGATTCAAAAGCTCTCTATAGCAAGGAAACTCCAATGGTAATATGGAGCAAGTCCTGCCATTCTGCTTGTCCCCGCTGCTCTCTGGACTCTGGGTTAAGGGACAGAAAGTTAACTTTTTTTCCTTTTTGGAAAAATGTAAAGCATTGTGCTTTCCTGTTGTTTATGTTGACAGCCATTACGCTAATATCCACTCACATACTTTATAAATTGTTGAAAGAAAGTATCTATTTATTAAAGTTTCAACAGCCCATTCATTTTAATTAAGAGGCAAGAACATGTACAGGCCACATGTGAAATTTCCAGCAAAAGCTCCAACCTAAACAGGCAGCAGAGGACCTGATGTTCTTGACATGCCTGAGACAAAAGCCAGATTAAATGACTGACTTCAAAAACAACAACAAACCGTGTCAGGTTTTTAACCACAACAAAGAATCGAAAGGGAGACCAATTTATTTCTTCTTTCACGCCGTTCACCTTTCAGTGCGACCTGAACGCCGCCCGCAGATGCCTGCAATTTGTTCCAGCACCAAGTCATCTCCGAGGAGACTCTGAGTTCCCTGGCTTTCCCCTCGCACTGCTTGTCCAGGCTGACAAAACACCCCTGGATGGATGGGAGTGGAGTACGGGGCCGAGGTGTGGGGTGGGAGCCGGGCAGTGGGGGGGATATGTCCCGGTGCCAGCCCCACCAGGCTGTTGGTAGCAGGGGGGATGATGCCTGGGCAGAGCTGGAGTGTGGGTCTGCTCCCTGCCACCCACAGCTCCAAGGAAAAGTGCTTGAAGCAGGGCAGAGAGACGAAGGATCTGCAGGACTCCACGAGAAAACGCTGAGTTTCTTCTCTGCCATCCCACCCAAGGGGAAAATATCTTTTTTTTTTTTTTTTCCATTGTGCACAACTCTGTGTAATAACCTGGAAAAACTTTGTGGAAGACTTGGCTAGCTAACATCTACTAAACCAGACCCTCGGAGAAGCTCTGTGTTCCCCTCAGGTTACAGTGATCATATGACATATCTCAAGCAATCTGTCCCTCTGAAAGCTGCAAAATATGGGGGGGTGTCAGACTGAATTTCAGATACTATGCAAAGCAGGTCATCCTCTATTTGCTAGGAACAAAACAAGCTTTTTTCTCGTATTTTATGCATATGGGTTTAAAGACCGATCAGAAGATGATGAATAATCTGTTTTATATTTTTTTCAGTAATAATGTTAAATGTCATGGTCCAGTAGAGCATGAAATCTGTCTTAACAGCTAGCAATCCAAAGGGATTTAAGTACTCAGCTGCATTTTTTTCCTTACAAGCCTTCTAGAAGCAACTTTGACCAACGTGGGCATGCAGTAATTCGAGATTCACTTTAAGATCCATCAGTGCCACAGATCCATATTCATTACAGGGGTAGCCTGGGCTTGCGCTGAGCTAGGAGGGCTGAATCAGATGGGGAAGGGGAGCAGCTGGCTCCCACTGCCCCATGTCCAAGGCACACTCCCCTGGATAAGTCCTCCCAGCGACTTCATAGGGACCGCGGAGGTGGCCTTGGGGATGCACCTCTCCATCTCAGCATCTCTGCACGGGCTCCAGGTGCTTGGTTCTTAAAACTGCCGAGTGCGCAGGCTCGTAATTGAAATTAAAGAGGGCTACGTGAGCTCAGCATCTCTGAAAATCAGCAACTAAGCAGTTCAGAGCCTTAGAAACATTTTGGAGGCATTGCAATATACAGCCACGGCTGGAAAGTTCTGCCAAGAAGACAACAGTAAGGGATGTGACTTGTGCTTGAGCTCTAGGAAAGACAAAACAAGCTGTGCAGGAAAGGTGAGTAGCTTGGGCTTGCAGAGGGGTCTGAAAATGTATCAGGCCTAATTCTCAGTGTATCCCTTGGTGATTCATAGTCTCATACAAACTAAGTCCAGAAAGGACAACTCCTCGTCTAATACAGCCTTTTTAAAATAAATGTGTTCTTGCATAAAGAGAAAGTAAACTATTCACATTCTGCGTTAGCAATTTTTTTATGTCTCCTTTGTCCAAAGTTAAATGGCAACAGAATGCAAGACACACCCCCCCTCCTCTTTCCATCCATTTTGGGTTTGGGTCCTATAACGCTTCACTGATTGTTCACTGTACTTTACCTGTGTTAGTCCTAAGTTGTGTATCTGAAAGGTGAACGTGGAAAAGAAAAAGAAACCCTGCAAACCCATGTTTCTGTATTTGCTTTTAGATTATTAGCAGTTTTGCCTGTCTACTCTTTAAAAAGTTGTTGCATGTGAAATCACCTGCCTCATTGAAAGAAATACATTATTCATTTTAAAATGCCTTTTGCCTCCCTTTCTCTCTGAGAGTCTAGCCTGTCAGATTTCCATCTTTGTTCATAAGCTGCATGTCCATAAAGGCTGCACGGTGTAGTTTAAATGCACTAACAAAAGTAAATGGGTATAAGTGCTACCAGAAAGTTTTATGCTTGTCCTTCCCTCAGCTTTCTAGCCCGTTAACTACCCTACAAACCTCTGCCTTCACACTATGTCACACTTCATACGGGATGATTCGGTTACACATTCAGCCAGCCAGTACGAATCTGGCGTTAACCATAGCTAAATTAAAACATGAACACGCCAGTGCGGCTCTCTGTTTGTCCGTGTGGTTTTGTCCTCACACACCCATGATGGTCTCTGGCCAGCTGGCAGCAGCCGCCAGCTGTCTCCATCCCGGGTGCAGCTACAGCCTTGTCCCCCTCAGTGGCAAGTGGACCCATTGGGAACAAGGAGCCAGGGAGGGACGTTAGGAAAAGAACCTCTCCCCCAGGGTGGTGTTTTGGTTGACAGCTCTGTCAAAGAGTGTAGGTAGGAGGAGAGAGGGATTTTTCCCCACAGGAAAACACCACCCTTTCCTCCAGTGGTGGAGCCAGCATGGGGACGGGTGAGGAGCGGGGGCTGGAGACCTCCTGTGTTGGGTCAGGCTGTGGCAGCTGTGGGTGAGAAGTGCTTTCCTCCACCTCCTCCTTTGTGCCTAATGGGCTTAAACCCACGTTGTTTCCCCACCACAAGCGATTTTGAGGGCTGAGGCTCTTCCGTGGCGAGCCAGGATGATCAGACAGACCTGCCCACTGTGAGCACCGAGCCCGCAGCACGCAAGGGAAGTGCGTGCACCCAGCCAGAGGCGTTATGGACACCGAGCCTCAGGCGAAGTCGAGGACAGCAGACACTTCATTTACCATAACTGCATAAAAATACACAGAAAACACCCAAGAAGTGCAGACCGCGTTCTTCCCTCAGAGGTAAATATGAGAAATCCACCGTTTTACCTCATAGACCCTAGGCAAGCAGGTCTCCTGGGTCCAGGTGCCGCTGGGGCACTCGGGAGACCTGAGGCACTGCTGGCTGCACCAGCCACACCGCATGAAGGGAGGTGCCTGCAGGCACTGGCTGCAGGACCCGAAGTGATGGCAGCCCGGCCCCGTCAGCGGGATCTTCGTTATCTGTCGATGGAAAGATCCTTTTAATACATGCGCTAAGCGGCAAGGAGAGTCTCTATTTATGCAATGCTCTGTGGTGCTACTCAGATTTCAGATGTGCAAGCTGCGGTTCGACTTCTCTTGAGCTCAGTAATTATAGGATCTTATAAGTAATTTAACTGACATGATTTTAAATTCGCTTGGGAGAAACCCTAAAGGCATCTTAATGTCATATACCGTTACTACCAGCATCTGGTGTTTACAGCAAGATAGCATTTTTTGCTGATGGAAAAACAGCACTGTGCTCCTCCCAATTCTGCACTAGTTCTTGGAAAAAACATCGTATCTCAGTATGCCTTAGTTCATACATTTGTAAAAGTAGGCATGATGGCTATTTCGAATTTGGCAAGGCTGTACTAATAACTGTGACATTTATAACTGTGACATGCTTAAAGCGTGTGACTGCCCATGTACTTGTTTTTTAACACCTGCAATCAAAAAACCTATATCGTATAAAATATCAATTAAAATTTATATTACTTAAAATATCAGGATAGCTACAATAATAGTCACTCTAAATAAGCAGGAATTATTTTTAGTCAAAATATTAAAGTTACTACATAATTACATTGCTGTATAAGTACGTCATACGTCATAACAGTTCAGTACCTTCCTTAAACTTATTTTGGACATTTTCTTGAAGATTACTTTTATAAATGTAAATGATTAATAACCTTCTTTACGGATGGCTGACGTATTTCTGTAAATTCTTACAGAACTCAAGAGGTGAAATTATTGCTTACGATTATGGTTTAGGATTATCTGTAATATTATCTGCTGATGTTTTAAAGCCATTCTACAACGCGTATCTACTTATGACAATAGTGTATTTATGACAGCTCTTCATCTTCTATTAACCCTTTGTAGAGTACATGCTAAAGCGATCTTCAAACCTTACTATGAACACTGACTCCCAATTTTAAACACTCCCACGTAGTTCTTGTACGTACTCCCCTCTTTAAAAAGTTATAATGTCATGACACAAACCAACAAAAGCCAGGAAACTGAGCACCATTCTTTCCTTAAGCCATTGTGTGTTTTTTCTTTGCAGACACTTGAATTAAGGACAGGGTTTCAGCCTTAAAATTTGCATTTCCTGGCCTTTGTTGGTTTATATCACAGCTCTTACATTATTTAAACATTTCTCAATATTAGGCTGTTGGTTTGTTTAGTAGGGGGGCGAAAAAAAATCTTGGAGGAAACTTGTCCCTACAATGTTCCCAAGGGAACGGCAAGGCTGCGAGGATGCAGAGCATAAAGCAGCAGAGAGAACAGTTGCTCTTACGGAAAGTTGCTGCTCTGAGAGTGGGTTTATACAGTTGCACAGAAGGATTAGATTATGAACCACTCACCTTTTTCCCAGTCACTACCAGGGTATAGCCATCATCTGCTAATGAGTTCTCGACAACAACTTGGGGAGAGACGGGGTGGGAGTCTAGTTGAAAGCTGACATGTGGAGCTGTGGGTTCTGAACGGGAAACCACTATCTAAGAAAGAAAGAAAACTGGGAAAATCAGCAGGCAGTGTGTGACACAAATGCATGCTCCTCAGCACTCTCACGTTCCTATCACTTCTCTGCTTGCATTAATTACTTTGCATTACATTGCATAATATTTTGCATAATGTTCCATCATGATCTGATTAAAGCGCTATAAAATCTACTTTATTTAACACAGCAAAATCATGGCTGTTGGAGCATCCTCAAAATACATCGTCTTTATTAAAATATGAAGGAACCATTGCATGTTTTCTAGTCCTTTAATTTCAAGTATTTATAAACCAACCGTAAAAAAATGAAGATGGGTCATTTTAGTCAGCCCAGTACATTTAAGAAAGGAGAATTTTACCTACCACATCTATTTAAAAAGAATCTTAAACTCCAGTCCTTCAAAACTTAAAGAAATATCCGTTTATTTTCACTTTGGTCCTTCAGTTTGACTAGTAAACTTTATCGTGTGTCAATAGTCAGTTTGACAAGTAAACTTTATCGTGTGTCAATAGTGCCTGGTCTTGATGCACAGGGGGTCATCACAGTGCAAAGCTATGGCAGGCGCTGGTTGCGCTGTGAGTAGCTCTACAGAGCTACAGGTACATGGTCCTCGATTCCCAGAGCTGGCAGGGTGGCTACTGCTACAGACAGGCTCTTTGCAAGAGGCTGGACACCTCGAGATGTAGCTCCTACTGATTTCTGCAGGACCCATGTATCCAGGACAGAGTACTTAAAGCACCTCTTAAATGACAGGGAGAGATGGAAGCTTCTCTGGCAGATGTTCCAAAACAGAAGCCTAATTTAGTTGTCCTGAAGCCCCTTTGCAAGAGCCCTCGCTCTCTCTCTCTCTTGATTTTAGATGATCTTAGGGAGATTAGTCACACCAGTATGAAATTCCCCCACTAGTCATCTCTGCATCTTGAGTTACCTAAATACTTCTGAGAATTTGTGCCCATTCCTGCAAACACACGCTTAACTTTACTACTGTAACTTTGTTGACTTTAATGGGATGAGTCATGGTTGTTAAGCACAAGCATAAAGCATCTGCAGATTGGGGTGGATATTAGATAGCGAGATTTTATAGGCTTGGGTCTGCAAGCCAGAAGGATGTGTGCCCAAGCGTGATAGCATCAGGCAACAAAGGCAGAGGATTGTTTACATGAGGGAAGATCACGTTCATGTTTCAAAAGCTGCATCACGTGTAGTTTACTTAAGGAATTTAGATAATCAACATTTGCTGAGAAGTTGAGATTCAATGGGGTTCATTATTTAAAAAGGCTGAAGCCATTCTGGAAACAACTTGTATGTCAAATGTTTAATTTTTCACTATAATGAAGCTTTTCTTCTGACGCCGAAGGCAGCATCAGAACAGCTAGGACATTGACTTACACGATTTCACTGGCTTTTCGCATTGCCAAGGTCTTTCAGCAAGATGGCTGACTCCAAAACTAGACTTAGAGATGCTGTAATTACAGCTGATGTTTTGCTGTAATTCAAGACTTAAATAAAATATATGAGCAGTTAATTCATGGCAAGAAGTGCTTCACATCCCAGAGGTACTTACAGTTTGGGGGTAAAAAAGGGGTTTTTTTTCCTTTAAAATGAAACTGGCCTTGTTAAAGACTTTGCTATGGGTTTGTTTCATGGTACAGAAAGCGCAGCTTTTAGAAATCAATAAAGTCTGATCATTTTCAGTGACACAGAAGTATGGTCTCTGACTCAATGTATTAGGGCATGAGCTCTGTTTTTATACTCAGGACAATGAAAAATAGAATGGACTGCAAAGCTGCATGAAAAAGCTTGATTAATGTTGACATTATGGGGAGAGGTAGCACCACAGCTGCAAATACCTTTTTAGTTGATCATTAGCCGTGTCTCATCTCGAATACCCACTGCTATAAAATGCTAAGAATTCTTTTCTATCATTAATCCAGGCTTCCTCTTATTGCCAAGCATTCTTTCTGATTGAGCCACAGTGTTAACCCTTTAAACACATCTGTGTTGCAACCTCAGAGCTATACATACAAATTTGGATCCCATCCCTAGAAATCTTGGAAGAATTATTCGATACTTTAAACACTGACCGACCTTTATTTTACTGAGGCTGATAGTCAAATCACCTGCTCAAAGCCCAAGCAAACAGACTTTGACCTCATGACATGCAGGGAGCTCAAATTACACTTCCTAACTCATTTAGGACTATGGAATAAGAGTTTGGAGTTTGCTTAGAACTAATCTACCAGCCTACAGTGCTGCTGTAACAGACACTAGATGCAAAAATGCTCTTTTTGGTCTATATAGCTGCGGGTTTTGCATGCATCAGCTCAGTCCTTGAAATTTTATCTTACCCTTATCCAACATAATCCTGAAGAAAAAGGCAATCTGAAGACAGCTTCTACAGCAGGAAGAAGAGGCTACTTAGGACTCCAGTGTTGTTCTCAGAAACCTCTGGATTTTATTGCTTGGGACTGGTCTGGTATGCATACAGTGTGGCTTTAATCTACCGTGGACACAACACCATACAGGGGCTACTTCTTCAATGGAAATGGTTAAGTACTACAGAAGGATTTCTCTTTACAAAGACTATAAAGTGCTGGTTTGGACTTTTTTGTGGGGTGAGTGGTGGTGTGGGGTTTTTTACATTTTAATAATTAATTAATAACTAAGTTCTCCAGAGCATGAGAAATGAAAGTGTATCTATGTGCCTGCACTCAAGCAGTTAGGAGAGAGGGAAGGTCTTGCACAGATAAATAATTGACTGAAAAAGAACAAACAGATGTTAGCAGTAAATGATCAGTCCTTGCAATAGGGAGAAGTCACCAGAGGTGTTCTGCAAGGCGTCTGTGCTGGGATCCGTACTGTTCAGCACACCCATAAATGAGTTAGAGAAGCGGTTGAGCTTTCCAGTGACAAAGTTTTCTGATGATCTGTAGGTGTTCAAGGTGATAAGGATGAGGACAGACTATGAAGGATGGCAGAAAGACTTTACAAGACAGCATGTCAAGGCAATAAAATGGCAAGTGAAATACAACAAAGAAGATGAATTTAAAGTGGTATATGATAGATAGTTCCATGAAAACATCATCTCACTGCTCAGCAGCAGTCAAAAAAAAAAAACAAACCCCAAACCCCCCAAAACCAAGTAAACTTAAGAATGATTAGAAAAGGATTAGAGAACAAATCAGAAAACATTCTGATGTCATACAAGGTCATGGCTTGCCTGAACCTCTAATTCTCTGTGCAGTTCTGGTTGACTCATAACAAAAAGAGTAAGTTAAAATGGGAAGAGGTTCAGGGAGGGGTAACAAATATGATCAAAAGGCTGTAACCAACGACTGAGTAGAGTAGGTGTGGAAATACTATGAAAAAGGCATACAAAATCATATGGGGGTAGAGACTGACCATTTACTCTCTTCTAATAAAAGTACTAAACCATCAAAAGACGAAAGTGAGAGTCAGGTTCAAAGCAAACAAAGGAGTAAGACTTCCTAGCACTATGTGATGACTCCTTGCCGAAGGATGTAAATACAAGAGGAATACATGTTCAAAGAGAAACTGCGCACATATATGGAAAGAGCTAAAGAGACAAAACCTAATAGCTCAGGAAATCCCCAGAATGGAAAATAGTTGGAGGCTTGAAGCAGAAGGGTTTATGTATGTTGCCTGGGTCTCTAGGCATCCACTTGTTACCACTGCTGGAGACAGAGGACTGCACTAGATGGACCCTTCATTTAAACACATGTGGCTCTTCTGATGTTCTTAAAAATAACCCCCCTGAGAATCACATTCATTATCAGTAACTACAACCCCAGACATCCTTCTCAAAGCAAACACAGTATTGACCTCCCTCTGTTTAAGAAAAAACCAAAAAAGTATGTGGGCTTGGAAGAAGATGAAGATAACAGACAACAGTTAATTAATTAATATGTTAATTAATATATTCTTTATGCTGGAAGTTAGTGATCACTTACGTCCATGAACATTAAAAGAATTAATTTAAATATTCTTTCATTGCCATCAGCAAGTATTAATGCTAAGTAAGAAGACTTGACTCTAGGTTCATTTATGCATAAAATGGCAAATTAAGACTGTAATAACTTGAGTTAAAAAACAGCATGCAACAGCTTCTTTTAAAAATCATTCTGATGCTCAGTTCTGCTAGTCAGCAGGATTGAATTACAAATGTTACTGTCTGCATGTTGAAATATCTTCTGCAAAAATGAGAGGCCTTCTAAAAGCAATCCCATCTAAGTATCATATTGTTATTTTTTTCCCTAGATGTCTGGCAGGTGTAGGCCATTACCCAGCAAAGATAGGCTCAGGGTTAACTTCATCGTGTGACGCCTCAAATGCCCTGGGATATGCAGCGTAGCCTTGCAAAGGGCACATATGTAGCTCTCTAAATGCTGTATATCATTCTAATCCATGGAGAGTATAATGGATCTCCTCTGAAGGGTGTAAGCTTTTCTACTCAAATTGAATATTAAAACATGTGTGCTCTCAAAACAGTTATTTGGCACCAGGTGTTAATTTTGACTATCTGGATTTTGCCTGATGCAATATTTGATACCTTTTCTGGGAGCATTAAGACACGTTCTGTACCACAGAAAGAACTGTTGTTACAGAGCTGTTAAAAGTTGAGCTATAGGTATTAAAATTTTACTAATCTCGAGTTTGCCACAGTTTCCTGTTGGTTTAAAAATGATAAAGTGGGAAAGATTGCAACTATTCGCGTTCCTAAAAATGCACACGTGTGCAGTGTGCATTTAGCTTTAAGTAGATCAGACTGCCAGGTACAGAAGAGCCAGGTGGATTGCTGGACCACCGAGGCAGGAGAGCAGTAGGCACTGAGGACAGCCTTTGCAATGACTTCAGGGGCATTCCACCGCTCTTTCCTCCTTCTGGCTCTGGAAGGTTTAATGTCCGTGCTTGTGTATTTCTTCAGTTCAAAAGTAGAAATGGCTTCCAGTGTGCTGTGGTATAAACTGGATTTGAAAG